GTATTTGTTTTTGTATATGTATATGTATATGTATATGTATATACATACATACATACATACATACATACATGCATGCATGCATGCATGCATGCATGCATACATACATACATACATACATACATAGGTACATACATACATGCATGCATACATACATACATGCAAAAAGTATATGCGTACGTACATACATACATACATACATACATACATACATGCATACACACATACATACATCCATGCATGCATACATGCATACATACATGCATGCATGCATGCATGCATGTATATATATATATAGATATTATATTTAAATACCATATTTGCCATACTACTTATATATATATATATATCAGTATAAATATAGATATCATATGCATACATACTGTATGTAGGTACGTATGCATGCATGCGTGCATGCATGCATGCATGTATGTATGCATGTAGAGTGCGAATGCTCAAAATGTATCCATGTATTTGTCTATCTATCCATCTATTTTTACTTATCCATCTATCTATCGCTCTGTTTATCTCTCTATCTATCTATTTAGCTATCTATCTATCTATCTATCTATCTCTATCTATCCATCCATATATATATATATACATATATATATATTTATTTATATCTATATATATATACACACAGGCAGATATGTGTATAAAGGAATATGCGTCTGATTCTTCCTTTCTTTAGTTCTTTCTTTTCCTTTCTCAATATAACATGAGTTTACACACACACACACATACACACATGCATTCAATGGAGTATACAACCGACATAGACATCGACATATATTTCCTCATTACAGATTTACACTTATACTCCTATACAGATGCACCCCTTGGCCAATGGGCATACGAGCACGCTCAGCTTCTCATGTTCGGGTGACCTCCGGTCCTCGAAGTTTCCATGTTTCCCCCCTCCGCAACCTGATGGGTAGCTTTGCCATCCATGTCTTCCACAGCTGCCCCAAACTGCATTCGGTATCCTTGAGCGATACGTCCTTAATGAATGGCTCATGCTACGTTTGCATCAGCAGACAGGAGAGAGAGTTTCACGGCACGAGGTTTTCACGACATGCAAGTCTTTCCTGTCAGGGCATCCGCCCAAATCTTTCTGTTGTTCACCAAGGTTGAGCCGCAAACTGAACTTAATGCGTGCGGTTCTTAAAGTGCATTCTGCACGATGTCTTATGGAGTTCAGAAGTGGCCTTGCAGTTCCTTGCAGGTCGAGATTATTTGAGAGAGTTGACTTGCCACAGAGACAAGCAACGCTGCGGACTTGGAGTGTGCCGGGAGTTTTCAGCATCGACAGGTCTTGCCCAACGTTGTTGCGAGGCAGCATCAGCGACGAAGCGCAGGAGGTTCTCCAAGACCTCCAGGAGTCTGCACTGATGCCGTGGTTTCTTTGGCTGATGGTCCAACTGCAGGAGCATCCTGTGATGTTCTTCGAGCCATTGAAGTTTGTGCTTGCGGCCACCCCAGCTGGATTCAAGCGCGACGACCGTGATTAGCTGCTTTCTCACCACACCAGCCGCAGAAAAAACACCGTGTTTCTCACTTCACCAGTAAGGATGATGTGACAAAAGAGTTCATCAAGCTTGTGGTGGAAGAGCGGGTCCGTTTCCTCAGCAGGTCACGCTGCAAATTATCTCTCGCGAAACCGCTGCCCCGAAGTCCGCAACGAGGGCTTGGAATTCAGTTCGAACCTGCCAGCCGACAGTGAGATGATACACCCAAGACCCCGAGCCGGCCCTGGCCGCCCTGGCCCTAGCCTGTCTTAACCCTGGAGCGGCCAAGTATAGGGCCTTGCGCAGTCTTCATGCGATGGGCAGCCGCTATTCCTGTGCTTGTTGGTTCTTGGCCTGATGGCCGGATGCAATATCCTCACTATCCTGGGCGCCACGTCCTAACCCTTGCAGGCCCGCGGCGATGTCGCAGTGGTTGTTTGTACACTTTGAAGGTTGAATTCCGGATACGTGCACGTGAGCTTGATGTGCAATTCAGGGCCCTGGGACTTTGCTTTCCTCGGTGATGTGCCGTTCGCATCTGCGGCCTGGGTTCGGGAAGAGGATTTGCAGCGACAAGTCTGGGTTCCCGATCCTTTCAACGCAAGGCCAGTTGCTGCTATTGCATGGGAGCTCCAAGGGTGAACTTCTGCTCCCTGTGGAGGGAATGGCTTTGCCCTCAGCAAGCGTGCCCGGAGTTCGCCACCAAGCCATGTGCTCGATGCTGTGATCGGCGGCTTGGGGAAACTTGTCAGATCAGCAGAGAGTGCTGTGACCCTGCTGCCTGGCTGACGAGTCTGTGCCATCGGACAAAAGCATCGAGCCAAATACAACTGCCGCCTGCAATTTCAGGTTGCGCTGGGGCGACTTGGCGTTGCTGCATACCGCATCTATCTCCCAAGCTCCGTGAGCTTGTTGTACTTCCAAGCTTGCGCTTTGCGCTGCGCAGTCTTCATCAATCGCAGCCTCGTTTCACAGTCCCTCGCCTCAAGCATTTGATGCGAGAGCGTCTTGAGGAACTAGCCGTAACTAGCGACCTGCCAAAGCCAGGCATGTGGGTGGCTACAGCCCGTTCTGGGTGAGCCTCGCCGAGTTCCGGGCACACGCCGGAAGCTTCGGCTTTGTGCCTCGGTCCCGGTCGCCATAGCATCGAATCCTGCATGGGTCCATGCTGTGACCCTGGAAGGAGCTCTTGGTGCTGGCAGACAGCCGCTTTACTGGAGAGGCACCCGTGCATCAAGAAACCTACGACTGGCTCCAACCTGGAGGCGGGAGCAGCCATGATGAGGGAGTATCCGCGTGGAAGCAAGGTTCCTGCAAAGAAGGGCTAGGTCTCCCTAATCGAGACGCAGGCTCTCCGTTCTCGTCAATTCAGGCCCTACCCCTGATGTCTTCTTATCCCACCAGGAACTCCCCGTCTATAGAAGCGAAGACAATACCACACTCGTTTCAGACAGCGAGACGTGTTTGTCAATATCTAACTCGTACCCTGGTGGAAGCTAGCAGCTAGTTGGAAGCCACCAGCAGCTAGCTCACCCCTGTTGCTGCTCCCCTAGCTGACAGGCCTTCTGCGGCCCGTCGAGGTTGGCAGTCGAAAGCTGTTTGTGCATGTGGTTTAGAACGAGCTACTGAAGGCCCACATCCTCCCGCAGCCCACGCAGCACATTGCACATGTGTCCGTGGTTCCGGCAAAAGACAGTGGCACACGTGGCAACGTGCAGGCGGCGCCCGGTCGCCGCATGCAGCGAATGTCCGTCCAGCCCCGGCACCTGTGCAGGTGACATTGAAGTTGTCCGAAGGATGCGGCCCTGGCGGCTTGAATGCTATGTGGAACATGCCACGAACTGAATGTTCTGCCGGATCCATGAGGCCTATAAAATATAGATCGCATGACGAGGCATGACCGCCAAGATTCGGTTTGACGACCACCACCTCCTGGCCACAGAGCGCAAGGTTGGCAAAATGACGCAGTGGTCGGAGCAGGTCCCAGAAGCGAGGCTGTGGACGCCGTCAGAACCCGAACTCCACGTGCTCACGCTCAGCCTCTTCTCGGATGGTGTGCAGGTGGATGCCGTTTCAGTTCGCTTTGGGCTCCGGACCGTGGAGTCGAAGGAGGGTCAAATCCGCATCAACGGCGAGCCTGTGCTGTTGCTGGGGGTGAACCGGCACGAGAACAATCCCTTTGGCGGCATCTTCATGACTTTCGATGCTCTTCGGCGAGATATTGAACTGCTGAAAGAGCTTGGTGCCAATTTCGTTCGAGGCTCTCACTACAGCCAAGACCAACGCTTTCTGGACTTATGTGATGAGAATGGCATACTGGTCTGGGAAGAGGCCGTGGCCTGGCAGCCCTCCCTGGAAGACCTGCAGGATCCGATTTTCATGAGCCAGCAGCTCCGGGCTCTGGATGAGACGATCGATGCTTCCGTGAATCACCCAAGCGCCGCTTGTCATACATTGCAGCCGTTGCTTGTAGTGTAGTGAAGTGAAGATGTAGTAGTCACATGTGGACAAGCAAGGCACAGTCTTTTTAAGTTCCAGGTCATCATTTGGGGATTCCTCAATGAAGGCGAAGCGAACGTGAGGGCTGCCAGGGAAGCATACCAGCAGCTGGCAAAGTTCACCAAATTGAAAGATCCTTCTCGCTTGGTGTCTTGGGCATCGAGGCACAGAGTCACCCTTCAGCTGCCGATAGCTGCGGTGGCTTTCGGCCTGTGAGGCACAAGGTGCGCGACGAGACCCTGGATCTGGCCGATGTCATTGCCTTCAACGACTACCCAGGCCACCACCAAAAGCTCTGCAGCACTCCGGCCAGCTGCTACAAGTAGCTGTGCTGTCGGTCGCCAGGCTGGTATGATGCCCTTGTGCCGGACATTCCGGCTGTCTGGCGGAGCTATGCTGATTGGGTGCGGGTCCATCACCCTGGCATCGCCCTCACGGCAGGGAGCGGGTATCGTCCGAGAAGCCTGCAGCTCTGAGGCAAGGCCGTGCTCATTGCAGAAGCAGGCGCCAGTGGCCTGGCCAATTTTCTGCGGCCAGCGAATTCATCTGGCGCGGGTCTGGACGCTTTCAAGCAGCTCACGCTCTCTTCCTGCGGTGTTCGCGGCTGCATAGACGTGAAAGTTTATGTTGTCAGGAGATGTGGTCAGAAGACCTGCAAGCGGCCATAGTAGGCACGGTTTTCAGCTAGGAAGCGGAGCGTGCGGAGCGTCGGCCAGAGTGAAACTCCCTGCCATGCTAGCGCAGGTGCGACGATAGCATCGGCAGTGGCTGCCGGATACGCGGGAGTCGCTTTGTGGCAGTTTGCCGACTCGCGCGTGGACGTCGCACTCCTCGAAGAAGACAACCAGCGGCGGCAGGAGTGCGATCCCAAGGCATCTCAGAGTCTGTTGGGGAAAGGTGCGCCCCGGCTCCGAGGCTCCCGGTGCCCCCCATCTTGGAAGTCGGGGCCGGCTCCGCCTGGGTGGAGCAAGTCGCGGTGGGGTCACAAATCACAAATCGCCATAAGCCAGCTTACATCACCTTAATTACCTTGTGCTTCTGCCAGGTTGGATATCAGATAACGAACTCTCCTTTCGGCCATCATATGGCCTTGCGGCCACGAGGTCTGAACAACAAAGGTTTGCTGTCTCTGTCGAGGCTGGAGGTTTCACGCACCCTAATGCAGCACAAACCTTTGCTTGTAAAAGCGTAGGCAGCATCGCAAGCTCGCCTTCGAAGTTGCTAAAGAGCCTCAGTCAAAGCAAGACTTCCGTGTGTCTATTGATGATCGGTGCCTTGTCGCACGTTCAGAATGTTGAGTGCTGAGCCGAGGAAGGCTTTCGTGGCTTCTGCTTCCCGATCGTGCCGGGAAGACCTTTGGAGCCTTCGACACCAACAGCCGTGGTAGAGATCGAGTCGTTGGAGTCGCTCGATGCCCTGCAATCACATGCAGGCACTTCGGTCGCGCAGGAACAACAGTTCCACATGTTTGGGGTGGTTGGGTTACCTGCAAAAGGGCAGAAGCAGAGCAGCCCGCCACGACATCAGCCTGCAGGTTGCAGTGGTTGCATGCTGGCAGCGCACACATGGAATCCGGCAGACAGGCGGGCAGGGTCAGAATTCCGTCAGGGGCGGGGTCTTCTTTTCTGCCTGTGGTTTGGCTCTTTGTCAGCGAGGCCTCCAGGCGAGCCAGGTCTGCGAGTACACGGCCACCGCCTGGCTTCCCGTGCAGCCCGCTTCGTTTTGAAAGCGGGGCTGCTGAGCCTGGCAGGACTGTAGACGGAGCTCGACTGTTAGTGCATCGATGCACATCGTGCTGAGAGGGCACTCGGACGGCCGGCTTGCGGCAGTCGGCGGCTTCGTGACTGTCGCAGGTGCAAAATCTCAGTTTAAAGAAACATTCTGCTCTGGACGGGCAACAGGAAGCACAGCACTTGTTGAACTTGTTAAGTTGTAGGCCGGCCTTGATTAGGTACTCGCGATGTTGCCTCCAGCTACGTTGCCGTCAGACAAGCTCCGACATCGCTTTGGCGGTTTGAGATGCAAGACAACCCGTGCCTTGCCGATGCAATCGCTTCTCTTCATGTCTCCCTTTATGTGATGTTGAGGACAGGCTTGATTGACTAGATCTTCACCTGCCAAGGAATGTTTTTCTCCTAAGGGTGATCGCTGGCAAACGCTGTGGTGGAGTTTTATCGCTTCATGCCGGGCGCGTTCCAGAAGACCTGCGACAACTGGCGCACTAGTCGGAGAATGTCATGTCAACCTTGTGCCCACTTAGATGCAAAAGTACTGCGCAAGGCCTTGGATTCAACACGATCTTGAGTAGAAGAGTCCTGTGTTTTGCATTCGCTTGGATAGGGAACGCCGGTCAGCAAAGGAGATGCAAATTCGGTGTATGCAGTGGTTCATATGTGCCTCGGTTCTCAACATGATATTTGTGTCCAGAAATGCATGAGTGCCAGACGCAAAAGAGGGCAATGAAGAGGGGCATGCGTTGGAGTAGACATTTCCATGTAAAGGCCACTGCCTGTGCAGGGATGCTTCATTGGCCACCCTCTTCAAGATGCGTATGGTCGTTTGAGCAGCTTGAGCTTCGAGCTGAACGTGGAGCCAGGTAGTCGATGGAAGCAGCACGTTCTAGTTCCAGATCCTGCCGTTTGCCGCTTCGACCTCCATGATGTCTTTGGATCATCGCACAGAGCAAAGAGAGCTGGAGGGACTCGACCACAACTTGCTCTTGCCATGGTCAGCGAGAAGGGCGACACAGTGTTGGGTGCTGGGAGCCGGCACTAGGAACGAATAGATCAGGATGCCAAAAAGAATTCGCACCCAGGACTTTTGTGCTGTAAGCGATGCCTGTCACGGCACCTGTCCGAAGCCTCTCGCACTAGGTCAAGCTCGATCAGAAAGGTGCGCCTGTGAAAATTGCCAGACCCTTGGGACAACACGTTCATTTCACCGAGCCGATGAATTGAACTCTGGCTCCCTTCCTGGTTTCAGGAAAGACGCGACGCGCGACATCCGGAGAAGAAGGCTTCGGTTCGGTTCCTGTGCCCCAAAACTCACGGAGCGCCTTTCATAAGTACTTGTGCGGATGCGAGGCCCAGGCCCGGGGCTTTTGGGGGGCCTGCAGGATTTGTAGCCCATAGCGGCACTCTCCTCCCGCCATGGATGCCGCACTTTGCGGGCCTTGCGGCTGCGTGTCTTTTGGCACTTTGCCATGCCAAGGGCCCGGGCTCGCAGGACCCTGGCCCTAGCCGCGAAGCCAGAGCGAAGTCGGACCTGGAGGCCGAGGCGCAGCAACTTCTGCTTCCCAGAAGAGCGGCACACCGCTTGGATCGGCTCCTTGTCTTCACCTGCCACGAGCGCCACGAGCCTACCTCACACAACGCCGACTTTGTTTGCTCGGAGCTATCATTGCGCCGTGCCCTGGCAGGATGTGCAGTGTGGAGAGGTTGACAAAGTCCCATGCAGTGCAAAGCTGGGTGCAGCAGCGCTTCCAGGCACGAATCGAGCTTTCGATAAATCTCGGCTGATTGTCAGCTGTGCTCCTGCCGCAGTTGCTGGATGTCATGGTCGGAGCCCCACCGAAGCACAGCTTGCCAGAGGAGCCATGCTCCCTCATGCGATGGGGTCGCAAGCCCGAACCCTCTAGCATGTGCGTAGCCGTTGCCAGAGGAGCTCCGAAAGCTGGGAGAGGCACTGCTGACAGCTGCAACGCCGGAGCTCGGGCCTTTGCTGGTGACCTGGACCACCGGTGAAAGGAGCTTCGTGCAGCAGGCGCACACTGTGGGCTCGAGGGAGAGCCTTCTTTCAAGCCGTGTCCTTGCAGGCCCTCAATCTTGGCTTGTCCATTCGACGCAATGTGCCACATCTGGAGAAGAGGTTTGTTGTCGTGTCGATGGATGGACAGGCATACAACGAAATGAGAGACTTTGGGTTCCAGTCCGTGCTGCACCGGAAAGAAGCCGACGATCTGTCAGACCTGATCTGGAAGTTTCGCTGGCATCTTCTGCTGGTAGCCGTCAGGTATGGGCTGCGCCTGGCAGTAGTCGACTCTGATGTTGTCGCATTCCGAGATCCTTTTCCTTTACTTGGCCATGATGCTGACTTGGAGATTGCCACGGAGCATTTCTGGCCGGAAAAGCATTTGTGGAAAGGCCGGGCTGCTGTTGGTTAGCTCAGTCTGTGACACCTTTGGCTTTCGTTGTGTGGAGAGGCTGGGTACGGCCGGAGGATGACCTGAGCACCGGCTTCATTTTCGTTCGCCCATCGCCGACTCTGGACACCTTTCTGGATGCCTTCCTTGCAGATCCTCGCTGAACCTTAACTGTCTCTCTGTGCTCGTGGGTGATGTTTCCTGGGCCCATCAACAATGTTTCGACAAAGGCAAATGCAAATGAATCGCTGCCTGGCGGACTTCTGCGAGACCCCTTCGATCAACGTGTGTTTAACAAGCCGGGGGCCTAGAGCCTAGGGCCCACACTGCCTGAACACTATCAATATAAGTTTGTAAAGAGACTGCCGCCTCAGGTTTGTGAGGGGCGTCGCTGCTCGGTGCAGTCCGTGTGTTCAAGGGCTCTTCAACGACATGGTTCTGCAAGTGTCGCCAGGTGGGGCAACGGGCCGTTTTGTCCGCAATGCGCATATTCCGTCTGTGTGTGCATGTGTGTGGCGGCTCAGGTGTACCGGGACGAACCTCTACAGATCAATTACGTTTGCGAGTTCTTGATCCTCGGGAGGCCTTGGTGCCAAGCTTGCTGCAAGAGGCCCGTGCCGGTGCTTGCGAGGTCGTGGCCAATGGAGTGAATTTCTTTTGGCGGAAAGCCCATCTTCAAGGCGAAAAGCCGACGGTGCCGGCTCTTGCTCATGCCAACGGAGTCGGGCCGAAAGAGTACTTTCTCCAAGACCGGGGTGCCTGGTTTTTGGATGACCTCAAAGCACCCTGGCTTTACTGGGCCTTGCGGACTGCTTGCGGCTCGCGGAGCCTCTCCCAGCACCTCAGGAGCGCTTTGGCCCCACGCCCCGCTTCTTCTTTTACCGGCATCCGTCGAATCTCTCCTTGAAGGAGGACTTCGCACATTTGGCTGGGGCTTTGGAAGTTGCACGGACTCTGGGCCGTCGTCTTATCCTCCCAAACAACATGAACTGCCAGAATTGTCCAGCTTTTGAGGCCCGCTGTGCAAACACATTCTGCAATACCCTCACCTAGCCAGCATAACTTAACGCCCCTTCAGGCATATGGCTTGAACGTCAGCCTTGGTGGCACATGCACTGTGGACTACTTTGCATATATGTTCCGCTTCTACCACGTGCATTCATCGGAGGTGGTGCCTGCTGGCACAGGTGTTGATCCAGCATTTGAAGCGTTGTGGGGCAAGCCGGTGAAGCTCGCAGCTGACCCCGTAGATGTGGCACGAACGAGCACGCGCACGGAGTATCCAGTGGTCTATTTTCCGGGAGATATACGTGAACTCCGCGACGCTCTTCAGGCCAAAGGCACACTGCGAAGGATCCGCCTTTGCAGTGCAGATTGTGCAAGACCGCAAATCCGCAATTACTTTCTACCGGTGCATGCGTGCCTGGGAGGAATGACTGCAGTTATCATGAATGGCCTCATCGGTTCATGGCCTCTTTGCATAGCTCAAGAGCGTGAGAGTAAGGCATCGTGGCAAATCCATCCGACTGCCCGTTTTTCCATCCATTGTCTGAGGCTTGCCGTGACGAGGCCTTTGTACGGCATTATGGGGTACCCTGCCAGCCGTCAGCTGGCCAATCTGGATGCGGCGCAGAGGGATTCGTGTGCTGCTGGTCGCATCACGGTCGCGCTGATCGCTTGGAGTGTCTCGGATGTCCAAGCTGAGATAGCGCGCTCAAGCAAGTTCCCGTCCCGGCTTGCTCCTGGATGCACTCTGAGGTACTACACCGGCGTACCCTGGGACTTGCCGTGCGACTGTGGGCTAACCTGTCCAGGCGTGCCCTCCTCCAATCCTGGAGTCCGCTGTTGCGGCAATGGTTCGGCTCAGTGCACATGGGCTGCTGAAGCCAATCTGGTGCCACCTGCACCGGCGAATCCTGACAAGGATCAGGGCCTGGATCAGTCAACAATCATACCTTGGGGAGCAGATCTGTGTGCAGGACCTTCCGTTCGCATCATCGTCGGTGCTGGAGTCGTTTGTGGTGGGGGACCTTTCTGCTGAGCAGGCAGGGGAAGTGGGTGCAGTTCTTCTACCTTTGTTGTGAGATTTTGGTGCAGGTCTGGAGCACGTGCTTGGCTCACCGCAGTGTGTACTTCATCATTCGTGAGCCTCTAGATGGGGTGCCGGAAGCAGACTGCAACGCCTTGGTCAGTGCTTATGTCATTGGTCGACGAGAGTGGGAGGCCGCGAGGCGATGGTGGTTCCCCGGCAGGAATATCCCATCTGAGCAAGCTTGCTTCTTCGCCTTGCATGTCACTTCTCGCAGACTTCCAGGCGATTCTCTCTGAATCTTCGACGAAGTGGCAAATCACTCTCTGTTTCTGTGGCGAGCGGTGAACCTGACCAGCTCATCCTACACCTCGGCAAAGTCAAACATGACGAAGATCAGCTTGGTTGCTCGCATGAGTAAATCCGAGACTCTCTGTAGTTTATGGCACAAGTATGATTTTGGCTGGCGTCCTGTGACATCAAGGATTTCTCGCTCAGAACATCCCCGAGCTAAGCAAGCATCTGGAGAAAACAGCTGTGCTGCGGCGCGAGCTGGGTCGATATCTGGCAGGCATGAGATGGTTAAGATGAGACCATATCGCGGGTTTTCGTCCGCATGGTGCAGGTGCCCGTGATCGAACTGCCCTGGTGCATGCTGCCATGGCTGCGGCAGACACGACAAACTGTGCTCTTCACGTTCCAGACGGCTTCCAATTGAGTCCGGAGCATACAGAGCAGCCACCAGAATGCAAGCAGGGGCGACGGCTTGCGTTTGCATCCCATCAACCCTTATCCAGACAGGTTTCTTTGCACGAGCACGAAAGCTGTAATTCGACATAGTTTGACAAGAGACAGCAGAGCACCAAGTTTATCGAATTCAAACTTTTTAGCAGCACCAGAGCCACCCCAACAGCCTGCTCCTCGACACCTGGGTGTTTGCATCCGCGCGACCGTGAGACCCCCAAGCCTTCAAACAGCAATTCACCGTCTTGCAAACTGCCTGCGCGCGCTGAGTCGGTGTCACTTCGAGCAAACGAGCAAGGGAGTCTTGTTGTGGGAGCCCCACGGGAGCAGCAATGGAGCAGCAAGGGAGCTGTAGCGGGAGCCACAACGGGAGCTGCAACGGGCTGTAATGGAGCCCAGCTGAAGCTGCGGACTGGCGGAGCCGTAGCAGGAGCTGTAAGCGAGCTGCAGTGGGAGCTGGAAGACCCCACCGAGCGTTGTGCTGTACCCGGCAAGTGTAACAGCATGCCCAAAACCCCTGACACAACACCCCCATGACACCTCACCCTAGTCCTCACTGGTTTTGCGTCTAGCTGGAAAGTTGGTAAGGATGAAAAGGATGCTGGCGGTGGCGGCCAGGCAGTTTTACCAAAGCCCGGCGCCATCAGCAGTGACCCAACCGGCAGTGCACAGCAACCTTGTGCCCTCTGAGGCATCGCACATTGGATTGACATGGTATTCTGAGTGGATGTTGCAGTCAGTGATGCTTCTGGTGTGCAGGTGCTTGTCAGCATCTCCGGTTTGCTTCGTGCCTCCACGGTGTGGTACCTCACGCTTGGAGGAGATGCTTCTGGAAAGTCTCGCTGGTTCTTGCATACTGTATGCAGATCTGAGGAGGCATAGCCTTGGAAGCACAACTCCGTGACGGTGCGGTGCCGAGATGCTCCAAAGGCTAGAAGAGGGGCTTGAGGACTAGCTGACTGAAGCTGAGGCCTGCATGCAGCGCCTTTCTTGGAACTCGGCCTGCTCGTTTCGGAAGCGCTCGGAGGTCTCGGCTCGGGTCCTGGGATCCGGCTCTCTATGCCTGGCAGCGTGCAGGCTTGGCACTCACGGACATCAGGGCGAGGACCTACGTCGATGCGAAGCCATTCTCGAACCTGGGGCTTGAATGCTTTGCAGCTGATGTTGCCGCCGTGCTGCTGCTTGGCCCTGGTAACTTGCCACTCGCCCGAAGGAGACTGCCCTGTGCTTGGAGCGGAAACGGTAACGTGCCTTGCAGCTCGTGTTGAGTGCTGGCCTCCATCAGCAAAGGACGTTACGATCGGTGTTCCACGACAGCTTTCCGCTCTGTGATGTTTCTGAACATCGCAACGTAACTTCCCTGCCTCACGTGGACCGGGCACGGTGGTCCATGCGAGATTCAGGACGACGGAGTGTTTGGGGTTAGTCTTGGGGTTAGTCTTGGGCAAACCTTGTCCTCACACCGCTGGACCAGGAGTGGAAGCAGGTGGTCTGGCTTTGGTACGTGCGGGCCAGTGGTGCGAACTTTTGATTCATCCAGTTGCTGCAGCTTGCCGGGCACTCGAGTCGCCCAAAACGAGAGACGTTGGGGGTTGTCAAAGAGGAATAGTCACCTCACGACATGGGAAGGCCCTGAATCAAAGGCCAACTTCGCTGAGAACCCGATGCTTCTTTTCTTCCACTTCGGTGCTGGTCCTGAAACCCGGAGGCAGGTGCTGCGAAGGAAAACCTTCTTGCACGAGCATGATCCCCACATCTTCAAGTACGCCACTTGAATTCCCGGCCGTCGTGATGCTTTGGTGCCGGCGTCTCGCATCGCTTCGGACGCCTGTCTGAGGGCTCTGTGCATGGAGCGAGACAGACGCTCGTGATAGAAAAGGGGGTCAGGGGGTGGTCACCTGAAGTGAGCGAGTTTTAGCTAAGTCCAGGCCCACTCCACTTGCATCGCGGTAGGTGACCCGGGAGAAGCCAGACAAAGCTCTCATGGACGAGCTGGCCAAGGCACTAGTTTTGCTGAGATTGCCAACTTTTCGAGCAGCTTGGTGCCATCGTGGACTTAGCTTGGGAGCTGCAGGTCCGGGGCGATCTTCGGAAGATTCAGGACGAGCTCCACACTTCCCAGGCTCAAAAGAGCTTGGCTTGATCAGATCGAGTGACGGGGATTGCGGCCTGCTCAGATCGAGTGCAAGCGATTGGCAGCGTCGGAGAAGTTGCCCGGAACCCAACTCCACAGATGCCACGAAAAGCATGCGAAGCTGTCAGGGCTCGGGAACAATTGGAAACGACAGAGGAGTTGAGGTGCGCCCGGATTGTTCGAAGTCCGCACACTTTGTCACACACTGCTCAGAACGGGCAGGAGCAAGGCTGCACGACAGGACTGGGATGCGACGGGATCTGGGATGTGCCGCAATTAGCCGGCGTTTGGGCCTAGCTGATGCCGCGCAGGGCTCGACGGCGGAAGACGAGATCCGAACGCTGCGTCAGGCCTTGGAGGAGAAGGAAGCGAGACTGAAGGAGCCAGGCTGCCTAGGACGAAGGGACCATAAAGGACCCGGGCATCCCGGGCCCTGAATTGTAAACCTGGTGACCTTCTGAGGCTCGAGGAGTCGACGCAGAGCAAGAGTCTTGGGGGCAAGTTGTCAGTACGTTGTCAGCCTGCCTTTGCCTATGCGCCTTTAAAGGGGGAGCGCAGTCGGCCGCGGAGCTAAAGCAGCGCTCCAATCTCAGTCTAAAACAAGCGACACTTGCGATGTGAAGTGAGGGAGGAATCAATGAAAGCGGCTCTCTCGAACGGAAGGTGCCTTGGAGCTGACAGAGGCGACTGAAGCCATTGCCCAACAACATTCTGGTGCCTGCGCCGTTTGCAGCCAAGAAGCGGCAGCGGTCGCAGGCAGAAAAGAGAATCAAGGAGTTGACCGCTGATGTTTCCCAAACGAAGGAGGCACTCAAATTTCGCCGAAATTGAGAGAGAGTCTGGTTGCCCGCGGACTTTGAAAGGAGCTGGCAGCAGCACATGCACAGATCAAGGGCTTGCAAGACAAGCTGGAAGAGGCAATCGTGCAAACGTGTTCTGTCCCGTGTGATCCGTCAATGTGCCGTGGCAGGCCGTGAACTCTGTAGTCGGGGGCCTAGGTCGCAGCGACGAGAACTCAGAAGCAAAGGAAATCATCTGCGGAGATGGCGCTCAGTGCAGATCTTCCCAGGCCCAGAAAGAGGCATCAAAGACAAAGGTCGTTGACCCGGCCATGGATGAGAACCTGCGAAAGGAATTGGTGCCACCCCGGAGCATGCCAGCGGGGCACCGCGCATGGCTCTAGACTGCATGGTGCTGCCAAGCCCTGTTCTTACGAACGTGGCCCCGCTGGTCCAGGCATGTCCGGACCAAGCCCATGTCGTAGGCAGCGGCATTGACATGTGCTTTGGTTCCACAACTGTTCCAAACGCATAGGCTGCTACCCCGAGAAACGCTGATGTCCGCACAGAAACCAACGAACTCATTGTGTTACTCTGTGCAAGTCATGGGGGCAGACACCCCCTTCACCTGCGGGCCTTATGCCGCCGTTGGAGAAACTCCCGAGTCAGATGAGGTGGGACTGCTTGCAGACGGTGTGTTGCATGAGCTGTGTCCCGTGCGTAGTTTACCAGGACTTGCGCCTTACTGCAGATCTTGACTCGCTCGCGCAACTGGGTACTGAAGATGAGCCATCTCAACCAGGCCCGTCGCAGAATCACAGTTCCGTGAGTCTCGGGACTTATGGTGCCAGAGCTGCATCTTGAAAAAGGAGCTCTCGCTCTGAAGACCATGAAGCTGCTTTGCACGATTCTTGGCCTCGGCGCTGTTCTCCTCGTGTGCCTTGTAACGCTGGGGGCTGCCAGGACCGCCCAGTCTCCGCGCGCTACGCGGCTACGCGGCTACGCGGCTACGCGGATGCCGGGAGGGATGGGGTCGTGACGGGAGGACCAGCTGGAGGCCTTTGTTGCCTCGGAGCGAACCCTTAAAGCACCAGGCCAGGCTATGCCGATGCCGGGCTGGGATGTGTGCGGTCTTGGGCCTTGGGCCTTGGGTGTCGGGGCGGAGCCGCCTTCGCAGCTCTGGAAGCCACCGCTTTGGCACAAGGATTGGCAAGGCAACGATGTGAAGGTCGCGTCAGCTGCAAGCTCTGCATCTGCAAGCTGCCGTGGTGCGGTGTCATGACCCTTCCAAGGATTCTTGGGACCATTTCACCATGCCAACATGTGACAGCGGACCAAAGCCTGGTACCTTGATCAAGGCCGAAGCCGAACCACCAAGAAGTCTCTTGCTCTCCTCGATGAAGTTCTATGGTCGACAGAGCCTGACAGAACTGCTGGGACTCAGGTGTGCTAGAGAAGTGCAATCCGCAGTTTGAAGGCATCGGCGGCGGCGGCGGCGCAAATGCGAGAAGGAGGCATCAGAAACGATTCCTCAAACCGCCAGAACCTTTGTAGTTATGCATCTCCATCTGCAAGAAGGTCAGCATCGAAAGCTACGTGCATCCAACAAAACGGAGCATTGGGTCTTGGCGCAGCTCGGCTTCCGCTTTCTGCGACTCTGCGACGGAGGTTCTGACCAAAATGCGTCAGACGGATGTAAGATGATGCAAGGAAGCGAACGCCAGCACAAAAGGAGTGCGCAGAGCACAAGCGTGTCGCCAACGAGTACCATCAGCGATTGCCTCTTGGAGGAGATCTGGGCACGTTTGCGTCTCGTGCAGAGGTGAGGCCGTGTGGACTTAGGATCAGCGATCATTGGGCTTTTGTAAAGCGCCGCGACCAGATCCGAGAGCTTCACATCTGGCAGGGCCAGCACGCTTGCAAGGCAACCTGCATGGTGCTCGCGTAGTGCTCGTACTGCGCATCTGCTCCGTCCGTCTTCCGCTGTGGCCGCAGTATCTCTCTTGAGGCACAGCTTGTGAACACTGCATCCTGACTGAGACAGTAGACTCTGTAGACATGACAGAGAGGGAGGGCTGAGGGGGGAGAGACGGAGTCATCTGAGGATTTCGACAGCCGGATCTCTTGGCAGGATCCCAATGGCAGAGAGTCACCCGCACACTGCCAGAGGGTCTGTACTTGGAATCCCGGCTGCCATGGCTTTGCTTGGAGCAGCTGGGGATGCTTCTTGAAGCGGCTTGGTCTTGATTTTCAGCTTTCGCCGAAAAGTGGTGGCTCATGGCGAGTGCAGCGGAGGCGGCATGAGCTCGTAAAGAAGCCGCAGGCCTGTTCGCGAACTGGTCGCTTCTCTCACCAGTCTTCTTGTGCGTGACTGCGTTTTCGCAATGCGTGCGCGGAGGCAGGTGTCTATGCAGGCTTCCCTTGTAGAGCAGAGGACCTTTGCGATCATCCGCGCCTTGAACCTGCTGGTTGCCGCACCCATGCGAGCAGCGTGCTTCGGCATACCAGGAGCAGCCATACCCATGGCCTCATCAAGAAGTTGAGAAGCACACAATGCCACAACCCAAGGCCGAAAGTTTCACGACAATCCCAGCAAGTGTCAGTATCATTTGACAATTCGGCAGGCACTGCAGGTGGCCCCGGCATTGTCAATGTACTGCACCATGGTGATTTTGCCGTACTCCTACGAGGCCGCACGTCTGATCAAGCACTGCATCTGCAGTCTGGAGCTTTTGCAGATTGATCTGGTCCTCATGCAGTACCAGCGTCTCGGCTGTCTGAGATTGGCAATGGAAGTTCCACTCGCATGGTCGTGCATCCAGGAACTACTACAGCATTTTTCAATGTGATCTTTGGGGAGCGCCTGCCTCAAGATCTCATCCAGTGCTGTTCATGTCGCGCTGGCATCCGTGCTCAGGTGTACAGTAGCCAGCGCTTGGATCTGGCGCCAGGGCTGGTGACGAGGATCATGAACACGTCGCAGGTCGGATTGCTTCTTCCGCCCTGCCAGCTCCTGGAGGATTGACTTCAGCTGTCGCCACACATCTTCCACAAATTCCTATTAGTGTGCTTCAATCCATAAGCTGAGCATGTGTTCTTTGACATATCTCGAAAAACACACAAGTTGCTTCGCCGATGTCTCTGCACGTGCCTGCAATGGGCAGTCCCCCATTTGCTGGTTGCGATCCTACAAGATGACAACACATGCTTCCCCAGCCTCGTGTTTCCGCTTCGCCACAGTATTCCGAGTCTTGAACATGTCAACAACTTGCTGCTGACTGACAGTACATTCTCCAGATTGCTGAAAGGTTACCACGCTCAACACATCTCCGCAGCTCATGTCTTGGTGCGCGCACATGTGCCCTTTGACTGTGATGTTCTTCGTGGCCTCGAAAGGAGGTGTTTTTTTGGTTCGCGCCTTTCAGTTGTCTTTGTTTGCCCCTGATCTACTTCATGCTTGTTGTGTCATGTCCTCGGGTCGCAGCTTCGAAAGCTGCCCCTTGCACTTCGCACGTTGATGCCGCATACCTCTCCGATTCAAAAGCTTCATTGCTGATAGCAACAAGAGCATTGAGAGGTCGCAGAGAAAGGTGGCCAGTGGGGCACCGCGCTGAACACTGAGTCCCTGGCCTGGTGATAATTTTGTGGCAAAGCTATCTGAAGGATGCAGACGCACCGGCGCCGGCAGCTGGTGCTGGTCATTTACACACTGACACGGGAGCATCTGCTCTCGCTGATCCAAGGCCGTTCCTTGCATTCTGGAAGGCAGTGATTCAAGACGGCGATTACCTGAAGGCACGGAATGTCTGCTCCTGGTATGTCCGGGTAGAGCTTGTGCAAATGGGTCGGAGGCGAGATGGTTCATCAAAGTCGATCCAGACACGGCGTGGTTTCCAGCTCGGCTCATTCCGATTCTGCAGCAACAAGAGGCGCAGAACCTGACCCAGGAGCAGAGTCCAATGATTGAAATTTGCATTTGCAGAGCTGCGCATGCTGTCCCTGTGCAGACACCGTCCTGTTAGGCGTGAGCACGCGCATACCGGTTGCGCCTTTTGCAGGAGCCTGGAGTCTATCTCAATAATTGTCCCCAGGGCCTACACGGACCCATTGAGGTGCTGTCACAGGCAGCACTGAGCAGCTTGTTGCAAATCTGATCCATTTTTCCGGGATGGACGTGCGCTCCTGGGCTTCCCAGCCAAGGTACCTTTGCAAAAAGAAGCTCGGCGAAATAGAAGCGGTCCTACGGGGTAAAACCCACCCTTAGGTGAGCAGGAACGAGGTCCTTTTCGCTCAGCTTTACTGAATGTTTTACTGAGCCGAGTTGCCACCCACTGCTACTGGTCAATGAACGATTGGGGGAATTGGCAATGGGGAGAGGACATTCAGCACCAACATTTTGTTCTGCCCGCCTGCGATTCAGTTGACCTGTGACTACCGCCCCAGATCATCCCAATGCTGCGGGCTCAACTTCAACAAGTCGTGCCAAACTAGCGGTCCGATTCAAAAACAGTGACAGGGTTCCGTCCTGACATGGGAGGACATGTGGCTCGACCAGTGCTTCATGAACATTGGCCACGTGAAGCGAGTGTTTGCTGCTTGTCGGACTTTTCAGAATCAGGTGTTCGAGATTCATTGGCTAGCCTGACTGTCAGTTGTGGACAAGAGAATCCTTTGGTACATCAGCTTTTCGTCTTGTAGGTGCCCATGAGTCGGCTAAGGACAAGTTGTTTGCTTGGTAGATCTTGGCAGCATGCGGTGTCCACCGAACACTTATCCAGTCAGCTTAGGCGCTACTGTAGGGTCTGTTCTATTGTGTACCAGACCTTCGGAAGATCAATCCCTCACCCCACCGCACCTCGCCTTACGCATCCGAATGCACTGCATGCAGTGGATGGGCGGATGGGTTTTAGAGCCGGCAGCGCTCAAAGGGCTACTGATGGCCTGTCTGCTGGAGAGCCTTGTTTGCTCCTGCGTCGCCATGTGAACTCCGTACTTAATTTTGTCATGTTCAAGCGATTTTTCATCGAAACCTGCTTGAAATTGAGGCTGCGCCGGGTTTAGCCATTCAGCTCGCTTCAAGGAATCTACAAAAGTATTTTTGATGTCCAAGTTCAGGTGCAAAACCTCCTCGTCGAGGAGAACTGCATCTTGGCAAGTCATGTGTTGTTTCCGTGTGATGTCGCGTGTGAGTAAACCTTTGAATTTGACTGCCTGCACAAGGGCACGGATCCGTGCCCAGCTTTCTTGAGAGGAAACAGAGTCTTTCCGGACGTTCCAGGAGCAAGGGTTGTCTCCAGAATGCTTATTACTCGACAAGAAACTCATGTTCCGGACTGTTAGACCATCACCGGCGATATGAACTCCAAATCCAGGGTTGCTTTGGCGAGTGCTGCCCAGCGATCCCTCAATTTTGGAGTTACCACTGGTATCTGCGGCTTTCATCCGAGGTGCAAAGTGGCCGGGCTGGCAATCTTGCCCCTCGCAGGGCATAGTTGCGTACCATCCCTTTAAGCAGGCGTCCTGGGTGATCAAGTCTTCCTATAGGTTGCCGAAGTCATCCAGTATTCACAGCGCAGCTAACACCCCGCAGGCTCCATCATACATCGCCTGCACAGAATCTGGGCCGCACTTTTTTGAAAGAATCGTGAGAGCACTAGAAAATAGTTTCCGAGCTCATGCCAGCGTGAGGCCACTGGCATTACCACTTCGACCACGATGAGCACGACCACGATGACGCTTACGACCATGACGAGCACAACCATTACGCACACTGCTGGCCCCAATCCGGTCCAGAATGTCGAGCCTCTTGCATGCATCAGGGACGAAATCGATACAGGCAATGCCGGCACAGAGTCGGCAAAGGCAGGGAGTGTTTTGCTGCTCCCGAGCGCTTGATCAGGCACTGGCTTGCTGGACTCTTCCATTGATGCCAATGTTGTAATTTTTTGGTCTGCAGGAACCTTACAGATGTAAGATACCCTCTGGTTTCTGCAGCAATTCAAGAATTAAAGAACGCATGCAGTCCAACGGTTGACGGATTTTGTGAGCCGTGATGGCTTGGTCTTACGCCCCGGACGCTGAGCTGAGCCGGTTGGATGTCCACCCGGTAGCATGGTCGCAGCATTAATCCATCCACGAGCGATTGCTACCAGGAGATCAGCCAGCTTGCAGGCACAGCTCGTTGGCACAAGCGGCGAAGAGACAACACTAGTTTTGCGCCCTGTGCCTTTGTGCACAGATTCCTCTGAACCCCGAGGGTTCCGGAGGATTGGACTTTGGATCCAGAGCTACCGCACCGCGGCCCTGCATGCGAGTACAAGGAACGAGCAAGTCGCAACAAATCCGGCCTAATGAGGCGTGGCGGCGTTGGAACTTCTTCCGACTTCCCCTTCTGTTCGGGCAGTCGGGAACCGAACTGAGATGGCACCCGTAGTGGCCCAGTCCCCCGCAGGGCGAGGCGCTGGAGGCACGTTGGCTTTGCTTCAGGCTTCTGAGGCGAAAGGAACGGTTGGGGAAGGCTTCTAGAGTCGGCGCAGGCAGAGAAGAAGCGGTGAGCCGAGTCGAAAGTGCTTTCAAGCTTTGTACCAGCTTTGTACCCCCGCGCGCGCATCATTTGACGCCTTTGCCAAGTGCCAATCTGTTCATCTCTTCTGAGGCTCCGGCAAGAAAACCAGGACCTGGAGCAGGCGCTGCCTGCTGCCTGCTGCCGCTTGGGATTTCCTAAAGAACCTCCACGCAGCAGGCCCTGACTGAAGAAAGGCGGAAGAAGAAGCGCGACACCGGGGCAATGCGGTGCAGCAGGGTGCAGCAACGTCTCTTCAGTACCACACGTTCGTCATGAGAGTCCAGTCGCTGGTTGCTCTTATCCATTTTGAGCGTGGGGTCCAGTCTCGCCGCGACATAGCGATGCCAAAATGCGGATGCCGAAACCGTGCAAAGGGAGCTGCAAGCCGATCTTGCTGCGAACAAGGCCGAGGCGGAGAGCCGTGGCCTTAGGCCTTGGGATGCCCTGGGTACTGGCGTGCTTGCGTGCTTGCGCCTTGCAGTGCACTCGAGGCTGCGCAGCGAAGGCCCAGCGGGGCTTGCGGGGCTTGCGGCTGCAGCTTTCGTCAGGCCGAGGGCACAACCCGACACCGCAGATCTGGCTCAGAAGTTCTACCCAGCATGTAGAACGCCGGGCAGCATGTGGCAGCCTGGGCTTAGGCTACATGCAGGCAACCTCGGCACGTGCTATGGCAGACCAAGCATGAAGGTGCTGCGTCGTTCAGTCCTTCAAAACGTGAAGGGTGGCGAGCAGAGCCAGCCGAGTGTATTCAAGCAGCTGCAATCCCTGCTAGATTCCACGTTCTTGCGCCGGCGCTCTTGTGACAGGAAGGGGCCAATGCCAGCCAGATTGAAGCTGTCTGAGGCCTTTGTGTCCTCCCAGTCCTCCGACATCTGGGAGAAGTACTTCCGAGATCGAGATTCAATCGCAGCGGAAAACTCTCTGGGATGCCCAGCGCTGGAACCCTCTGTCCGAACCCAGGGGTTCTTGGATCTCGGGACAGGCCCACAGGTGAATGAGTGCCACCTGTTCCACGGCACCAGCATGAAAGCAGCTGGCCAGATACTTCAACAGGGATTTCGTCTGGACTTTGCTGGGCAAAGCACGCAGCAACGATTTGGCTCGAAACGGAAGTGCATGTTTGCGAACGGAATTTACTTTTCCGAGTGTTCCTCCAAGGCTGATGAGTATGCAAAGGAGGGTGCGATCGGTGCTGTGAGCTCCTTGAGCTCTGTGAAGGGTTTGCGGCTGTTCCCAATGCTGCTTTGCCGCGTAGTTCTGGGAAGAGTTCTGCGGGTCCAACGCGCCGTTTGGGATGCTGATGACCCGCACGCGCTGTCGAACAAGCTCAAGCGCCAGCGCTGCAATTCCCTCGTGGGAGACTTGGAGGTTCAATGTGGAACCTACCGGGAGTTCGTTCTTCCGAAGATCGACGGAATTTGCCCGGAGTACCTTCTTCTTTACCGTCGGCTCTATGGCCCTCCGGGGGGGCCCTTTAGCTCGTCGCCATCTGCAGGACGGAGGCGGCGGCCATTCCGACAAGTCTAAGCGGCAGCACGGACCGCACGAGCTTCGACCCACCAGTCATCGAAGCATGCGGTGTGCTGGTAGAAAATCTTGGAAAATGGTGACTTTCTTTTGCAGTCTCGGACCTGGGCTGGATAGGCGCGAGAAGCTCTGCAGAAGGCTGCCCAGAGTCGGGAGGCAAGGGGCGGGTCCAACCGCAAGAAGTTTCTGATTTCTGGGGAACTTGGCACGCTGTTGAGCTCGATGTTTGCGAGGAGCTCGCGCTCGTCCAAGCAGAGGCTCCGGGGCTTTTGGCGGGGTCGTGTTTTTTCTTGGCAAATCTTGGCTACGCTTTTGCATTCGCTGCTCCAGGCTCACTTTAGCTAAACTGTTTGAGCTACAGGGTAGTCGATCCTGCCGGAGCCGTAGTGGCTCTTGCCCGTGCTGGAAGCAGCCATCACAAGGCCAAAGCCTTTCCCCAGCCACTGTTTATCGAACCATCTGACCAGCGGTGATCAGTGCCTGCAGAGAGCAGGAAGGCACATTGGGCATGTCAGGCATGCTGCAGGAATTGACTCCTCAGCTCCGGCTCAAAAATTCTAGCCGGAGTAGCATGGGATGCTTGTGTCAACTCACCCGAAGGGTTGTTGACTGCAATTCCGCGCCAACCCCAGTCCCATCCGAACGAATCTGCTTGGCCTGTATGTGCTGAGACTGACCGACTGCAGTTGCTGAAGGTCCGTTATGCAAGCAGGTTCTGGTGGCCAGTGAGTTTCTTGGCTCCTGCATGGGTCTCGGTCGTGGCAAGGCAAGCTGGGCTCGTCTCGCATCCAAGGAGTAGTGCCGCCTCGATCCAGGAGCTTCAAGTCTTATGGTCACTGGGACTGGGATTAGATTCAGAATGTCTCAAGATAAGAGGGCAAGATGCCAATGCCAAAAGCATGTCTGCAGACCTGACTGGAATGCTGCAGCACCCGCTCACACCGTCTCAGGTCAAGAATGTGACGGTTTGTCTTCCAAATCAGGTGGAGGGCGATGAGGATACCTACAGTGTAGACTTAATCCTGACATCCGGGAGTGGAAGAACCAATTCGAGTGCCACATGCGTAGAGTTTCAGGAGAAGGCGAGAAGAGGCGATCTTAGCGACAGCGATTCGAATTCGGCAACGACACCTCCTCCGACAACGCCGCGAGAGCCGAAAGGACACGTGACATACGAGTGCTTGGTTGACTTGCTGATGCTTTTCCGGTGTGATTCGGGTGATTAGCGACATGCTCCCCTGTGCGGGATGCCACGCTAGCTAAGAAAGAGCGAGACAGAGCAGTGCGGGCTTGCGTGCAGAGGGGTGGCACGTTCACTCCTCTTGTCTGTGTGGAAGAAGGAGAGAGATCATAGGGGCTTGAGGTGTTCTAGCAGGGTACACCGCGCGGGCCTTTGAAACACAGCCGCCCGTTCTCAGACCGTCAGACCCTCCCAAGTGGAGACTTGGACCGCTCCGTATACCTCTGGTTGAAGCCAGAAAAGCGTTATTTGACCGTTATCTTACAACCATGGAAAGACAGGAAGTAAGAAAGAAAGGAAGGGAGAGGGGGAGAGAGACAGACCTACCTCTGACACGGAGGCAGGACTGAACAGGTGAGAGCGAGAGAGAGACAGAAGGGTGCTTGCACCCATACCCCTAGCAAACAAGCAAACAAAAGAAAAAGAGAGAGAGAGAGAGAGAGAGAGCGAGGGAGAGAGAGAGAGAGCTTAGACGCTGGACGCCGGACAGACAGAGCCCCTACGGGGGGAGGCGCATGCGCGCCTTTGCCCTGAAGCAAGCAAGCAAGAGAGTCTAAAGCTGTTGTCCACAGTACGAACTTTCTGGTTTCAGCCTCAGCAGACGAGCTCGGGGGGAGCAGAGGTTTCAGGGCGGGGTGTTAATGCAGGCAGGTAGGGCCAGGCAGAGTCGTGCAAGGTTCGGTGCGGTTCGGGATGCGGGCCGGGGAGGCATTTCAGGTCGGTCTACAGGTGTAAACACGGGGGTCTCACGCTGGCACGAGCTGGACGCTAGAGCCCCTACGGCGGGGAGCGTGCGCGCTCTTACTTTTTTGCAAGCAAGCAAGAGTCTAAGCGTTCGTAAAAAAGAGTGCTAGGCGAGTGCAGGCGCTGAGTTTTTGTCTGCGCGCTCGACGTCGGGGTTTCCTCCCTGGCAGTTCCCCAGGGACTCGAACCAGAAAGAAAGCAGAAAGATACGAGACGGGGGCGTCCGAGATGGCACTTGAATCCGTGGCTCATGGCCAGGCTCAATCTTTGCCGGGTTTGGCAAGATGTCGATAACGAATCGTGGCAGTGTTTTTGGTGCGCCGCTAATGTTTTCGTGGAGCGACCATGTTCAAGCATCCGCTTTGTTGCCAGCAGCTTACCAACAAGGTCGACGGTGGAGCCTTGGGAGTGTTGCCGAGTCCATCTTTCCAAGTGATCGTCCGTCTCCTAGTCACTAGCATCACTAGCCGTCACCAATCTTGACTAGTCGGTGCTGCTCACCACCGTCCGAGGTCGAAACTCCGCCAATTCCACTGCTTCCCTTGATGCGAGAAACAGGTCGCCTGAAGCAGTCAATCTGACAGACGACAGCCAGTCTGCAGCCATGGTTTGCTCCTTCTACACCAGGTTTGAGAAAGGGTTCACCATGGTCGAGGAGGAGGAGCTGGGAATAGCTTTCTGTACTCGCGCAAAGATGCGACGGAAAGAGGAGCCTTGCTTGGAGTGGTGAGGCAATTCTAGCAGGATGTTGTGAATGAACACAGCGTGATCTGCTGTGCAAGTTGCTCAAAGCCCAGGAGCGAAATAAAGAGATATTCACGCTGATGCAGTGGATCTGCTCAAAGCTTTCGCCGTCATCTCCACAAAGAAGCACAACGTGGCATGCTGCTTTGTCGGACTTTGTGATATTCTCCAATGACGAAGACAATTTAAGTAAGACTAACAAGTTTCCAACTGTAGGCTAGTGCTTTTTTGTTGAGGTGGCGGAAAGTACGGCCAGCCGAAGTCGCTGACCTTACCGTCAGCAATCGAACCTAGCCGTAGCCGACATCAGCCAAGGGCTCACAAACGTAACTGCATCGCTGACAAAATTCATGGGCAAGGGCAAGCGGGAGCTCGAAACTTCGGGCGGCTCAGGCAACTTGCGCAACCGGACAAGCCGGGTGTTTGGTCAACATGCGAAGCCAGGAGTGCCATGCGAAAACCCTATTGCGCACAACGACCGCCACGAACACCAATTCGCACTCTCACACCAACATGTGGGGACACGCGGTCCGGAAGGATCACACCCACCCGACACCCAGCCTCAACAAAAGCAAGTACTCTGTCGCATCCCTCTCATCGCCGCCCCCGTTCTCCACAAGTCAGATCCCCTCGCTGTGCATGAAAGTCATCCTTTCGTTCAGATGCAGGCATGTGTGGCTCTTGGTGCGTTTGTGTGGCGGTTGGGAATGCAGAAATAAGGTCTTTGTGAGCCGGCAGCTGTCCACCCATCTCAGAAGCAGCACTACTGCAAGCAGACTGCTCGAGCCACTCTGATTAGTTCCTGGAAGCATCTGTTCATGTCAGCTGGGTTCTGCATGTTCAGGCTCTGCTATGGTCAGCTTCGTGCTCATCACCTGCATCTTCGCACTGGAGCCAATCTGCGTTAGTAGTGCCTGGCTCAGAGAGCACCCGGAACCCATGGCAAGGCCCTCCACGGCTCGGGGGAGGGTCAATGCCAATGCTTTTTTCCAGGTGATCAAGGCCCCCTCTTCACTCGCGTGTCGACAGCAGCCTCCGCATTGGATGTGCTTCGCCTGAATTGCTTGCCGTCACTTGTGAAGTTACAGTTTCGAGTGGCGTTGCCTGCCTCCAGAGAGAGAGAGAGAGAGAGAGAGAGAGAGAGAGACGAAGCTCTGAAACAGCGCAGCTCAGCACAGGTTGTGGCAACGCTGCACTTCGTGAACTCTTTGTTGTATCTGTGCCTTCCCGAGCTGGCGAATCCTGTTTCTGGTGTTGCCAATGTCGAAAACTGTGCTGAGAGGTTTGGGTCGATGGCCTTCCATGCTCACTTCTGCTGGTGGGACGAGTCGGCTCTAGGTGGGAGCCGTGAGGTATAGGCATCAACACAAGACCTGATTGACTTTCTTGCTTCTTAGCTTTTGGTCTCTTGGCCTTCAAGTTTGTCGACCTTTCGGCTTCTTGCTCACGATTGCAAGACATCCTTGTTGCCCTTTGACGTGGCCGTGGGCACGGCATGCTAGACGCTACGGGTCTTGTTGCACCCTCAAAAGTTGAGACTGCTGCGGTTTGCAGTGTCATCCAAGCATACGCAGCTCACACTCTGCGACTGTTGTGTCCCTGCTGCCTTCATGCTCGGCTGGTTTCCGGTTTCATGGTGTGGCTTAGCTTTTGCAAGCGCAGGCAAGCATGGCAGAGCACGAAGCTAGTTGCAGCTAGTTCGAGAGAGGTGTTTTCGACATCACTCCACAGTTCTCTTCCAGGAGAAGGCTCTGAGAGCGTGGTCTGCAAGTGAAGAAGCACGGGTGTGGTAGGCAAAGCAGTTTGCAGTGCCGACTTGATGCTTTTCGTGTGCTTTCGGCTCAGTCGAAGAAGGCTCGATCTTCGTAGCTTCCTTCGCGTGCGGCAGAGCGCCTTTCGTGCTCTGGAGCACATGGCCGCGCTCCACGAGAGCTCGGCCCCAGAGGAAGATGAATCAAGATATCACGAACAAGTGACACACGTTTTCCAGGCCCTGTGCACCTACCTGATTCAGGAGGTCTCCCTGGGCCGGACAGTGCACGTGCCCAACTTAGGTGTTTTCTTCAGCCACTCAGGACCTCCAAGGTCAATGCGCTTCAAGGTCTTAGAGAAGGTCCTTCCCGCAGATTTGCGCTGGGAGGGACCCGGCCCAAGCATAGGACCTATCTCGAAGGTCCGGCTTGAGAAGATTGCAGGGACGAGTGGGCTGCAGAAGGATGTGGCGGAAGAGATGGTGCAGTCGGTAGTCAAGGAGTTTTGGACGGCCGTGAAGGAGTCGCCAGAAGTGCAGCTGGATCTTCCGGGCATTGGCCAGATCAAGGTAAAGAGCCAGATCATCACCTTCGAACCCTTTGACGCGGACAGCCGCATCTCCAGCAGCCATGTCACGGCAGAGCACCACATGTTCGGCACCACAGGGGCAGAGCTTCTGAAGAGAATGACGCAGACAAGCAGATCTCAGACCTCGTTATTTAGACAAGAGAGAGAAAGGCTGCAGACGACCGCGAGTGACACCCTGCTGAGCCCGGAGTCCGTACCGTCCGTGCCACACGACACGGAAGTGAGAACGGGGATGCGGAAGTCAAGCTCTACTCCTGTGTTGAAACCTCTTCACCAGGAGGCCAGCGTGGGTGAGGTGCCCTTCCCCAAGAAGGGCAGAAAAGACCGGACGAAGCTGGCCTCCTTGAAAGAGGATGCCGAAGCTCTAAGCCGTCGTTTCACCCGCCAGCTCCCTGTCTCGGAGCGGCTGTTTCCACCTTTGCTCGATCGCTGCAGCCGGACCAGGTCCGCCTTGTTCCGAGAAGCTGTAGAACGAGACCATATCAGTAATGTGCCTTGGCAAAGCTCGGAGAGTCAGAGAGTAGGACGGCAGGAAGCAGAGAATTCCTGCCTTTTTTGGCCCTTCTGCTCCTGAGGTCATTGCCTCCAACTACTCGCCGCAGGCCCAGGTCCTAAGCATCGACCACGAGGCCCACGTCAACTTAGAGAGCACAATGATCAGAAGAAAACCTCCCATGAAGAAGAAGGACGGAAATGACAACGGGGCAGTGGATGTTCGAAATGTGGACTGGACTTCGGAATGGCCTCGCATCGTAGAGGATTCCCCCATTGTTGCAGAATTGGATTCCGTGGCGCTGTCGAAGACGGAGTTCTGTCGAATACTAAGCAGGTACAAGCACTACACAGAAGGTGGGGTGCCTTCTGAGGTTCTAGCGCCTTACCATCGCCAGTGGCTTGAGCATGCTGTGCTCCTCCTTGAGCTACAAAACCCTGCTCGATGGCCGTCCTTATCAGAGGATGAGCAGGGGCAGCTCATAGAAGAGCTTCGACATGAGATCCTGAAAGGCTACATCCGAGCCGCCAAAACCTCGGTGGTAAATTATGCATTGCTGGATGACCGGTGCCGTCGGCGACTCGACATACCTTTCGTTCCGGTTTTGCCGCCGGAATGGGGTCGCCTGACTTACACGGTTCCCGACATCGGAACACCTGGTGGGCCGCCGGAACACTGGCGTGCAGGCTTGCAGGCTGCACGGACCTCCTTGGCAATGCGCCATGTGCAAAACTCGACCACGGCCCTTCGATTGGTTGACTTCTGGCTGGAAAACTGCCAGGACAGGGACTACCGCGCTCCCCTTAAATTGCCGATTGAAGCTGCTCATGTTTAGCTTGTCAGGAGGTGCAGCTTCTGAACTACCCGAGAGCCCACGCGGAGACGTGTGACATCAACACTTTCTTTGCTTCTCAAAGCTCGGTGCGGGAGACGGGTCTGCAAAGCTTGTCAACTGCTTGGCAACAGGTGCCCGGGCGTGTTTGGTTTGCTTAGTGGTTAAATTAGCAGTGCAGGCATTCCGGACTCAGTGCCAGCCAAGGTCATCCACATTGTGTCTGAAGAGCCAGTGTACCTCCAGGTTGCCCCTGATGCTGAGACGTCTGCCGAAGCCGTCACACCGAAGAGCAAGTTGTTGGAATTGATCCCCACGGCACATCCGGAGAAGATGGAGTCCCACTTCTACGAGGCTGTGGCAGCCCTCCTCTCACAGCTTGCGCGAGATGTGGTTGAAGCAAGTCTGCAAGAGTACGTAGTGCTCTTCCAGCGCTTTGCCGGTGAGCCGCTGCATTACCCCCAAGTCAAAGCTTTGACCAGTGGGGATAAGTGGCAGGAGGTGATGTTGGTCAACAAGCTCACAGTAGGACCGCAGGGCACGGACATCCGCTTCAAGCATGACTTAGAGTTTGTCAAGGCACGGCTACTGCAGCCCTATCGGGACTGCACCACCTGCCTCAGAGAATTCCCTCGACCGGATGCGAAGTTGAAGGAGACTGTGAACCGTCCACTCCTTTGGCAAGTTCGAGAGGAAGAGGAGCACATCAAACGTGGATTTGATCGTGTGGAGCAGATTGTCAATATGAACCTCTACAACATGGAGAAGGCCCTTGAACTCTACGAGCCTTTCACATTCCTCCTCACTGAAGAGGAGAAACTGCCGGCCTTCTTCGATGACCAATCGAACACACGGGAAAAGTTCGCTGCATACTTGCAGCACCTTCGTGACACCGTCTCAAGGCTCCGGGAGCAATGCCCAAACTTGCTGCAAGTGCAGATGATGCGTGTCGATGCGGCAGAAGTGAACCAGAAGCTTGAGCAATGCGCCGACGACTGCATAGCCAAGATCTTGCGGTTCCTTGCCATCCGCAACCAGGACCGCAGCGCACGTCCGAGACCAAGGGTCTGCAAGATTAGTGCTTCTTGTGAGGTTTTTTGAATGCTGCCGAGAGATTTGCCCAACCGAGGCCTGGTGAAGCAGTTTGAGCATCTGAATCAGCGGATTATGCGCCAACCGGAGAACGAGGAACAGTTGGTAGAGCTGGAGAATGCCGTCGAGGAAGCAAAAGGCAAGATCCTCCCAAGTCTCCTCGACGAGTACGAGGCTGGTTGCCCAACGAAGTGCGTATCTGTGTTAAGGGCTGTTCTTTAAGGGCTGCCCGCTTGTGAGGACATCAAGGCCTGGCTTTTCCTGACCTGGGACGAGGCCCCTGTCTGCTGGCCGTAGCTCGCTAGGACGTTCGGTCTGCGGCCCTGCCTTAGGAGTACCTGCTCACGGAAGAGGACTACAAGGCCATTTGGGAAGCATCGGAATGGAAGAGCTACGGGACAAACATCGCCGATCGTGAGAGGGACTTGGAGATGGACCGGATGACCATCGAAGGCAAGCTCACGGTGAGAAGGACCGAGCTGCAAGAGGAGCTCAATGCCATTCTAAGCAGCATCCAGAAGTTCAAAGACAAGGGGCAGATTCGATACCTCGACGAGTACCTGGACGACCTGCAGAGCATCAAGAAGAACCTTGCCAGTCTCCAGGCCAGTCTCCGTCCAAGCTGCCTTTGCTAAGTCCTGCATGTCAAAACTATCGTGCTGCGACTTGCCAGGCCCGATGTGAGAGGGTGAATTATGAGGAGGAGTTGGTGGGTTGGGAGGCCGCAGAATTCGATGTTTTCGATGAGGCACAGAGCGCTCTGGAGCCTTACGACAAATTATGGAACCTGGTTCACGACCACCACAAGGCAAACTCCAAGTGGACACGCAGCCCTCTGTTTTCAGGCGAGATCAAGCCAGAGGAGGTTGAGTCTGAAGTCAACAACATGTGGCGCTTGTCCTTCAAGCTGAAGGCGCAGTTTGAGCAGGAGCAGATCACCAAGCCCGCGAAGGCCTAAGCTGAACGTTGCTCTTAATCCGATTTAGTTGGGAAGGCACCGGGGCAGCAAGCCAAAACCACAGCCTCTCCCGACAACAAGATTGAGGGACCAAGACGAGCTTGACGAAGCGATGTAAGTGAGGTGTACCGGATTTGGGTTTCTGTCTTTTGATGTGGCTTGCGCCGTGGGGATGATGTGTTGCCTGTGCAGGTGGCAGAGAAGGTGAAGAATGATTTAGACGCTTTCAAGGAGAATGTGCCGTTGCTGCACGCTCTTTGCAACCCCGGCCTTCGTGATCGGCATTGGGCGGAGATCTCAAACGTGATCGGCTTCCAGATGGAACCGGATCCAAGTCTCACTTTGAACAAGGCGAGAAAGGGGCTTCTTTTGAATTCTTTTGGCACACCCTCCCCTTGCTTGGCTCTTGCTTTTGATGTTATGACCGAGCTGCCAAGGCACTGGATCGCGACCTCGGTGCCTACATTCAAAAGATTTCGGAGATATCGGACAGCGCAGCCAAGGAGTACCAGATCGAAAGTGGCTTGGAGGCCATGATCAAAGAGTGGGAACCAGTTGTCATGGAGTTCAAGGACTGGGGTACGACTGGGACCTACATTGTGTCTGGTTCATCCATCGATGAAGTTCAGACACTGTTGGATGATCACGTCATCAAGACCCAGACCATGAAGGGCTCCCCATTCGCAGCCGAGTTCAAAGAGAGATTGGAGGATTGGGAGGCGTACCTGACAGGGGTCCAAGATGTCGTGGATGTTTGGCTTAAGGTGCAGGGGGTGTGGCTGTACCTGGAGCCAATCTTCTCTTCTGATGACATCATGCAGCAGATGCCCACAGAGGGCCGCCTCTTCCGTGAGGTGGATGGCACCTGGAGGGACATTATGGCCAAAAGCGTGGCCAACCCCCAGGGTCTCGTGGTCTTCAAGCAGAGCAAATTCCTAGAGAACCTTCAGGCCGCAAACGACAAGCTCGAGACCGTTCAGAAGGGCTTGAATGACTACTTGGAGACAAAGCGACTCTTTTTCCCGCGCTTCTTCTTTCTCTCGAACGACAATCTTCTAGAGATCCTCAGTGAGACGAAAGACCCCAAGCGTGTGAACGCCCACGTGAAGAAGTGCTTCGAGGGTATGCAGAGCCTCCAGTTCGAAGAAAACCTCAACATTTCTGGCATGATCTCACCCGAAAAGGAGACTGTGCCGCTCACCAACGTCGTGGACCCCGTCGCAGCAAACGGAGCTGTTGAGAAATGGCTTGTCCAAGTCGAGGCTGCCATGATCGAGTCCATCCGGGACCAGAGCTTCCAGTCCAGGGACGACTATGCAGTCACACCCTTCGTCGACTGGGTACAGAAGTGGCCTGGGCAGGTGGTGATTGGCATTTTCAACTTGTACTGGACTTCGGAGGTCAATGAGGCCTTGACTGAAAGGGGGAATGCGGGCCTTTGTGACTACTCCGTGAAGCTGGACAACACATTGGATGAGATTGTGGGCCTCGTGCGGCGCGAGATCCCGAAACTCGTTCGGTGCACTCTCGAGGCCTTGATTGTGATCTTTGTGCACAACAAGGACACTATCGTGGAGCTCAGTGAGCGTGGCACATCGGAAGTCACCGATTTTGACTGGCTCGTACAGCTCCGATACTTCATTGAGGACAACCCAGACAACCCCGGTCACGATGACATCTTCGTGCGGATCACAAACAGTTTCCTGGGCTATGCGTACGAATATCTTGGAAACTGTGGGAGGTTGGTGGTGACGCCGCTGACTGACCGGTGCTATCGTGCCCTGCATTGCAATCTTTAGTTTAGCAAGCTTTAGCAGCCCGATCGAAGAGGAAAGAGCGGTGGATTGAGAGGGTTGTTCGTAGCCTCCCAGACAAGCATGCAGAAGAGAGAGGGAGGACATGCAGGACTGTCCGCTGTTACATTCATTCCGGACCTTGGTTGACCTGTGGATCGGAGCCAGCAAAAGCGGAGGAGAACACTCCATAACAATCGTGTGCTAATCCTCCCCTTGTTGTGAAATCTTGCTGCCGGCCTCCAGAGCAGACGAAGGAAACCGCATGTGAGTGGCCATTGGAAGACGAGAGAGCGCACTGTGGCCGAGTGACAAGAAGGATGAGAGGATGTTTGTCGTTTCCGCTGATGGAAGTACTGCAGCGAAAGGCTCGATTGCTCTGGAAGCCGCTCGACGGGGCGTGCATGTTCCGGTAAGCGCAACCTGCAGAGCCAAGGCACGTGCTGTGGGGCGCTGCACCTGCTCTACGGCGCGGCTCCTGAGGGCCCTGCAGGAACTGGCAAGACGGAGACAGTGAAGGACCTTGCAAAGGCTCTCCTGCACTTGGCCGAAAAGAGTAGGCATGTCTGACTTGTAGCGTCTGGGCACCGCAGGCACTGGCCCGCTTCTGTGTTGTGTTCAACTGCAGCGACGAGTTGGACGTCAATGCAATGGTCGGCGGCCTAATTCGTGAGTGCTTGTCTGTTTGCTTTCCTTGCTGTTGCGTGTGACTAGCTGACTAGCCTAGCCTCCTCCTAAGCTTATCACCTTCTCGCTCCCAGGCAAAGTTCTTCAAAGGCCTCGCATCTTCTGGAGGTTGGGCATGCTTCGACGAGTTCAACCGCATCGATGCGGAGGTGCTAAGCGTGATTGCGCAGCAAATCCTGCAAATCCAGAATGCCATCAAGGTGGCTTGCCTGGAGCTGTAAGCACTTGTACTCGGCGCTCCGAGCGTAATTAGAGGATTTGAGGTAATTAGTTGAAATGCGGGCCTTGCAAACGAGAATCCCGAAGACAGGCCGTTAGTGTACTTGCTGTAGTGGCAGGCATCCTGATTTCCAATGTTTTTACGCCGACTTTTGAACATGGATCCTCGCCTGGCTTGTCCGAGTTGTCAGAGAGTAAGACAGGCCCGGCTCACCTGCTTCGAGTTTGAGGGCACTGCGAACTTGCCCATCAAGTGGACCTGCAACTGCTTCATCACCATGAACCCGGGATATGCCGGACGCGCGGAGCTGCCCGACAATTTGAAAGCCCTCTTTCGAACAGTGGCCATGATGGTGCCGGACTATGCCATGATTGCAGAGATCAAGCTGTACTCATACGGTTATGCAGAAGCCCGGCCGCTGTCTCAGAAAATCGTCACCACTTACAAACTCTGCAGCGAGCAGCTCTCGTCTCAAAAGCATTACGATTATGGGATGAGAGCGGTTTTCTCAGTGCTGGTCGCTGCCGGCAATCTGAAACGCAAGTATCCGAGCGAGAAGGAGGACATTTTGATGTTGCGCTCAATCTGTGATGTGAACTTGGCCAAGTTCCTGGCCTTTGATGTGCCGCTGTTCAAGGGGATCACTTCAGATTTGTTCCCTGGCGTGGTGCTGCCGGAGCCGGACTTTGGGGCTTTGACCTCCAAGCTCGAGTTCCACTTGCGCCAAGAGCATTGCCAGCCGCATCCCTACTTCATCGAGAAGATCATCCAGTTCCATTGGCAGATCTTCATATCTTGATCTTCTTGTTGTTTGTTTGTACGTCTTGATGCATCGACAAACGCAACGCCGGACTAGTCACGTCATAGACCGTCAGACGGCGATCTGAGTGCCAGCTCCAAGGTTCTACGAGTGTCACATCGTGCGTCACAGCGTGATGTTGGTTGGAATGCCTTTCAGTGGCAAGACGACGGCGCTCAGCTGCTTGCAGAAGACCTTGTCTGACCTGGCCAATGAAGGAGTCATGCATCCGGGTTGCATCGTGCACCAGGCTGGGTCACGTAGAAACTCGAACATGGAGGGCATAAGTATAGTGAGGATTGCATTGCTGTCGCAGGCACGGCTGAACCCCAAGAGCATCCCAGCTCCATGCCTGTATGGGACTTTCGACGAGGTTTCGAAGGAGTGGGCCGATGGCATTGTTGCTGTGCTTTTCAGGGAGTTCGGAAGAAACCAAACGGAAGAACGAAAGTGGTTGGTCTTCGACGGTCCGATTGATGCAGTCTGGATCGAAAACATGAACACCGTCATGGACGAGAACAAAAAGCTTTGCCTGAATAGCGGGGAGATCATTACGATGTCACCAAACATGCGCACCATCATGGAGCCGATGGACGTCAATGAGGCCACTGGTGTTTCGCTGGTACACTTAAGGAAAGCATTCTAGCGAGTTTCGCGTTTCGTGTGCGCGCAATAACACAAAGTCGCTTTCTGAGTAGCTAGGTTCATTGTGCGGGAGGGGGGGGGAAGCGTCGCAAGACTTAACAGTTGTCGAGCAAGGCCTCACCGGCAACCATCTCTCGCAATGGCATGGTGTATTTCGAGCCGCACCTCATGGGTATAGACCCACTTGTGGAAAAGAACTTCTTGGGAGAAATGCCGCAAAGCCTTGATGAGGATGAGGCCAATGAGGTCAGAGCCATGACTCACTGGCTTTTAAAGCCCTGCATCAAGTTTCTTCGAGAGGAATGTGCGGAGGTGTCGCCTACCCAAGACCAGAATCTCGTGCAAAGCTTTATGAATATTCTCATGTCCCACCTGAAAGACTTCCTGGCTTTGGATGTATATAAGAAGGAAGAGGGTAGCGAGGCGACAGGCAAAAAGAACATCATCAACATGATCGATGCCGTGGTGGTCCTGAGCATCATCTGGTCAATAGGCTGTGTTCTGCAAACAAACTCCAGGCCAGAGTTTGGGACCTTCCTCCGTAGTCTACTTCAGGGTAAGATCGAGGGCGTCTCGCAGTACAAGAAGCTGACACCTGAGTTTCCAGAGCGCGGTTCTGTCTACGATTGGATTTTCATGGCTGAAGAGATCAAATGGATCGGTTGGATGGACACGGTTGACCCCCAGACCATCAAGCCCGGCTCAGCCGTCGAATCCATCATCGTACAGACCTTGGACAGTGTGCGCTACACGTATGTTCTGCAGCACTGCATCAAGCATCGCATCAAGCTGCTTTTCTGTGGTCCTACTGGCACCGGCAAAACGGCGTACATGCAGCAGTGCTTGATGGGTCTGCCGAAGGATGGCTTCAACCAGATCATGATGGGTTTCTCAGCTCAGACGAAATGCGCTCAAACGCAGGATCTCATCGATGCCAAGCTTGACCGCCGCCGGAAGGGTGTGTACGGACCACCCTTCGGTAAGCTTTGTGTACTGATGGTCGACGATTTGAACATGCCAAACAAGGAGACTTATGGGGCACAGCCGCCCATCGAAATTTTACGGCAGATGATTGATGCGAAAGCCTATCCTGAGACTGGCGGCTGGTTTGAGCGCAAAGATGTGACGCACCCTTTCCGTAACATCATCGATGTCCTCCTTTTTGCCGCAATGGGCCCTCCTGGCGGTGGGCGCACCTTTATCACGCCCCGCATGACGGGCCACTTGTACTTGGTTGGCTTCCCGCTGCTTGATGACGAACCTTGCCTGTTGCATCCTGTGTGATCCTGTTGTCACTGTTGTCGTTTGGTTTTGTGCCACGACAAGTCCGGTTCGTGCCCTTGCAGTGTGACCCGGTCAGGACAACATGAAGATGATTTTCTCAACGATTCTGGATTGGAAGATGCAAGCAGATGGCTACCCTGCCGAAGTAACTTCACTTTCCAAAAAGATTGTTTCAGGCACGTTGGAGGTCTACAAGGCAGCAGTGCAGTACCTGCTGCCCACACCACTGAAGGCCGGTGCGACCTTTGAGCATGGCGCAAGCCCTAGGGATAGAGAGGATAGGTTCGTTGTTGGGTTGCATGTCTCCGACGCTGTGAGGTGCACTACACTTTCAACTTGCGTGATTTCGCGAAAATCATTTTCGGTGTGTTGCTCATGAAGAAGGGCGAGTGTGATGGAGTGGCCAGGCATGTCCGATTATGGGTTCATGAGATCTGGCGTGTGATTGGCGACAGATTGGTGGTCAACGAGGATAGAATGTGGATGTTGGAGCAGGTTCGAGGAGTTACAAAGAACACTTTTGGTCAAGGCTTCGATGAGGTGATGAAGCATCTTGATCTTGACGGAGATGGTAAGGTTACCACGCTGGATGAGATCCGCACACTCATCTTTGGAGACATGCTCTCGCAACCAGCTGCGCCGAATCGGCCATACACGGAATGTGCTGACATCCCGACACTCCAAACGACAGTGGAGTCACACCTTGAGCAATACAATCTGATGTCGACCAAGAAAATGGATCTGGTTTGCTTCCTCTATATGCTGGAGCACCTCTCACGGGTCGCCCGGGTCATCAAGACACCTGGTGGTAATGCTCTGCTGGTCGGTGTCGGCGGATCAGGTCGCCAGAGCTGCTCCCGTTTGGCATGTTTCCTGGCTGATTTCGATGTCTTCCAGAGCCTTGGCAGCACTGTGTAGGCTTCTTTTGCGAGGAGTGACATGCCAGGCAAAGATCACTAGCTCACCCTATGTCATAACCAGGATTGAAATTGCGCGTGGCTATGATCAGCTGGCTTTCCGCGAAGACTTGAAGAAGCTGCTCACGGCTGCGGGCGGCAAAGGTGAAAAGACAGTTTTCCTGTTCTCTGACTCCCAGATCAAGAGTGAAGGCTTCGTGGAGGATTTGAACAATCTTCTGAACACAGGAGAAGTCCCGAACTTGTTCCCTCCTGATGAGAGGGTGCAAGTCTGTGAAATGGTGCGAGCAGCAGCTCGACAGGAGGGAAAAGCGCCGGAGGGAACCCCCACACAGCTTTATGCATATTTCGTTGAGCGGTGTCAGAAATTGCTTGCCATCGTCCTTTGTTTCTCTCCGATCGGAGATGCCTGGCGGGCACGCATTCGGCAGTTTCCGTCGTTGGTGAACTGCTGCACCATCGACTGGTACACCGAGTGGCCTGCGGATGCCCTGGTGGCCGTGGCAGAGCGTTTCTTGGGCCAGGTGGAGATGGAGGATTCTGTCAGACACAGCTGTGTAGAAATGTGTTCCTTGTTCCACTCCGACACTACGGAATTGGCGGTGGAATTCAAGAACTCATTGAAGCGAATTTATTATGCAACGCCCACTTCGTTCCTGGAGCTGATTCAAACCTTCAAGACACTGTTGGCTGCAAAGCGCAAGCAAGTCACAGATTTGAAAGACAAGTACGAGAAGGGCCTTGACAAAATCCTCACGACCGAGCAGTCTGTTGAGGGGATGAAGGTGGAGCTCATCAACTTGCAGCCGAAGCTCATTGCAAAAAATGAAGAAGTGGAGAAGATGATGGTCGTCGTTGAGGCCGAGTCGGCAAAGACGGCGAAGGTCAAGGAAGCAGTGGCAGCAGACGAGGCGGTGGCTTCAGAAGCAGCCGCCAAGTCCGAAGCTCAGAAGGAGGAAGTGGAGGCAGACCTTCAGGAAGCCATGCCAGCTCTGATGGAGGCGCTTGGTGCGCTGGACACCCTCTCCGCCAAGGATATAGGGGAGATCAAGGCCATGAAGAACCCCCCAGGTCCGGTCAAGCTTGTCCTGCAGGCCGTGTGCATCATGAAGGGACTCAAGCCCAATCGAGTCAAGGATGAGTCAGGCAAAATGGCCGAGGACTTCTGGGGTCCATCTGTGAAGATGGTCGGCGAGTCGGACTTCTTGAAGTCTTTGCAGACTTTCGATAAGGACAACATCCCACCTGCTACAATCAAGAAGATCCAAACGTTTGTGCCGCTAGATGACTTTCAACCGGCGAGGGTGAAAAGCTGCAGCACAGCTGCGTGGGGGATTTGCATGTGGGTCAGGGCCATGGAGACATATGACAGAGTCGCAAAGGTGGTTGGCCCAAAGAAGGAGGCTCTCGCCATCGCGGAGGCTGAATATGCGGAGGTCATGGAGAAGTTGAACGAGAAAAGAGCTCAGCTTCAGAAAGTCTTGGACGAATTAGCTGAGCTTGAAGCGCAACTGAACGGTCTCAATGCTGAGAAGGACGATCTTGCTTACCAAGTCGACCTTTGCAAGAAAAAGTTGGACCGAGCGGAGACGCTGATCGAGTCCCTCGGCGGTGAGAAGACTCGTTGGACCCAAAATGCTGCAGACTTAGCTGTGGACTACGTCAACCTCACGGGCGATGTAATTGTCTGTAGTGGACTGATCGCCTATCTCGGTGCCTTCACCCCAGACTTTAGAGAGAAAACCGTGAAGTCATGGACGGATCAATCCCTTGAAAAGCAGATTCCTGGAAAGGAAAAGGTAAGCCTGGAGGATTGTTTGGGTGAGCCAGTCAAGATCCGCAACTGGACCATCTGCGGCCTACCCAATGATGCCTTTTCGATTGAGAACGGCATCATTATCGACAAGTCCCGCAGGTGGCCGCTGTGCATCGATCCCCAGGGTCAGGCGAACAAGTGGATCAAGAAGATGGAGGAGCCGAACAAGCTTGCAGTGAAGAAGTTCACAGACAGCGACTACATCCGACGTCTTGAGGGTTGCATCACCTATGGGAACCCTATGTTGATTGAAAACATCCTCGAGGAGACGGATCCTGCTATTGAGCCAGTCCTGCTGAAGCAGACCTACAAGCAAGGGAACCGAATGATGTTGAAGCTCGGGGAGAGCGTTCTGGAGTATAACAAAGACTTCAAGTTCTACTTGACGACGAAGCTCCGAAATCCGCATTACTTGCCTGAGATTGCAGTCAAAGTCACTCTGTTGAACTTCATGATTACGGTGGTTGGTCTTCAGGCCCGCCGAGGGGCCGAGGGCCGGGTGCGAGACAAGGGGTAAGCGGGGGTAGTGTGCAGATCTTTGCAGAGGGTGTTACTTGTACGGGTGACGGTGCATGCCGGGTGTTTTTGGCAGGACCAGTTGTTGAACATAGTGGTGCAAGCGGAGCGTCCCGAGCTGGCGGAGGACAAGGCACGCCTGGTGGTGGAGGGTGCTGAGAACAAGGCACAGCTGGAGGAGACTGAGAACAAGATTCTCCACGTGCTGCAGACATCACAGGGCAACATTTTGGAAGACGAGACGGCCATCAACGTGCTCAGCTCCAGCAAGGTCGCTCGCTCTAGCCGTAAATGCCAGCTTCCTGTTCCGGCTTCGTGCAATCTGTAAGTCCATTGGCCATAGGATATGAGACGTTCATCTTTTGTACCAAGGCTCTGTCCAACAAAATCGCGGCAAAACAAGAGATAGCGGAAGAGACTGAGAAGCAAATCGATGAGGCACGCTTGGGCTACGTGCCTGTTGCTTTCAAGACTGCAATTCTCTTCTTCTGCATCTCCGACCTGGCGAACATCGACCCGATGTACCAATACAGCTTGCCCTTCTTTGTGAGCCTCTTCTTGTCAGCGATTGAGAAGGCAGAAAAGAGTGACGATCTGGAGGTTCGCATTGAGAACTTGAACGACACGTTCCGCTACACGCTGTACTGTAACATTTGCCGAAGCTTGTTCGAGAAGCACAAGACCCTTTTCTCATTCCTTCTGTGCATGCGCCTTCTCCTGGCATCCGACGAGGCCGACTACGACGACTACCGGTTCTTGCTCACCGGGGGGGTGTCGCTGGAAGACCCGCCAGCCATACCCGAAAAGTGGGTGCCTGACCGCTGTTGGGGAGAGCTCTTCCGCTTGAACAAGAGCAAGGAGTTCTATCAAGGCTTCCATGAAAAGTTTGCAGCGGAGCTTCCCGTGTGGAAGAAGGTGGCCTGACAGCGCTAGGCACATTTAGGCCCTCCTAGTCCCACGACCACACCGTAGCTGTACCACAACAAACATGTCGTGGAATCCTCTTGGAAGCCGTATTGTGTGATGCATTTCAGGTGTACGATGATGTCAACCCGATGAAACTTCTCAAAGACGCTGGAACACGGCCAAACTCCATGGATGGCTTCAACGACTTTCAAGATCCTAGGCTTGGAAGCTTCTACTTGTGCGCTTGGACGTTGAGTTTGTGGATACAGCTTTAAGCATTCTTCACTTAGGACTTGATGGTCCTGCGGTGCATACGTCCCGACCGAGTGGTTCCAGCTGTGTTGGAGTTCGTTGCGGGCAAGTTGGGCGAGAAGTTTGTGAATCCTCCACCTTTTGATTTGGCCGGGTCGTATGCGGACTCCAATGTCACCTGGCCATCCAGTGCTAATACTCCATACATCTCCATACTGTAGGTCAGGGACCGTTCTTTTTGATTGGCTAGCTCCTCGTTCCCGCTTTCCACTGCGCTCGCTTGGGCGACCAACCCCATCGTTGCCAAGGCCATGTCGCCTCTGATCTTCATCTTGTCACCGGGCGCAGATCCAGGAAGCAACCTGTATCGTTTCGCCGGAGAGATGCTTGGCCTGGCTTGCAAGATCCAAGACTTAGGAGTAGAGAATAAGAGTCCACATGGACTGCACCCTCTGGCACAACCAAGGAAAGGCCGCGAGGTTGCTTCCATCTCGCTGGGACAGGGACAAGGACCGAAGGCGGAACGACTCATGGACATCGCCACGAAGGACGGCCCCGTTGTAGTTTTATGAAGTCAGATGCGCCCGGCACCAGTATTCGACATGGCGTTCTGAGGACGGTGGATGGGTTCTCCTCCAGAACTGTCACTTGGCAACGTCCTGGATGCCCAGATTGGAGAGGTTGTTGGATGAAAAGGACCCGAAAAAGGTTCACAAGGATTTCCGCCTGTGGCTCACTTCTTATCCGTCCAACAAGTACCTTGTCATCTTCAGCAACTACTTGTGAGTTGTGTATGCGCCAAGCCGATAAGCCATCAAAACGTCTCGCAGCTAGACTGAACATGTTAATCTCCAGGTTCCCCGTCGCAATTCTGCAGAATGGCGTGAAGATGACGAATGAAGCTCCCAAAGGCTTGCGGGCCAACATGACGGGCTCCTACAACATGGACCCCATCAGCAATGAGGAGTTTTTCGAAGCCTGCACCTGTGGCCGGGAGTTCAAGCGCCTGGCCTTCAACCTTTGCTTCTTCCACGCCGTGATCCAAGAGCGCCGACTCTTCGGGCCGCTGGGCTGGAACATCGCCTACGAGCGCCTCGGAAAAAGCAGATGTTCTGAGCCATTTCCCAGAAAGGAACTTGCGGCCCTTTTGTGTCTTGCGCTGAGGTTTACCGAGAACGACTTGCGCATCTCTGTTCGACAGTTGCAGATGTTCTTGGATGAGTACCCAAATGAGGCGCCCATCAAGGCTCTGAACTACTTGACGGGCGAGTGCAATTACGGCGGGCGCGTTACGGAGGCCATGGACCGACGGCTTCTAGCCACGCTCCTAAAAAGCTACTACTGCCATGAGGCTTTGGAGGATAGCTTCATCCTCTATCAAGAATCAGATGGTCCAACATACAAGCTACCACCCGACGGTGGGTACGAAGTGCATTTAGAGCACATCCGCAGCCTTCCGTTGGTGACTCCGCCGGGTGTTTTTGGCTTCCACGAGAATGCTAACCTCACGAAGGAGATGGGAGAGACCTATAACATGATGCGGGAATTGCTGCTCACCGCGGGGTCTGGAAGCAGTGGGGGTGGTTCCTCCCCCGACGTAGTTGTGGGAGATATTGCCAAGGATGTCTTGTCACGGCTGCCGGAGCCTTGGGATGTCCCGAAGGTGCAGGAGAAATACCCGACCCTCTACGAGGAAAGCATGAACACGGTGCTGGCTCAGGAGCTGAAGCGCTTCAATGGATTGCTGAAAGTCATCCAGAACTCTCTTAAGGACATTCAGAAAGCAGTGAAAGGTCTTCTGCTTATGAGTGCGGAGCTCGAGACGGCCTTCTTCGAGATTTTCGATGGCAAGACCCCAGCCATGTGGCTGAAGCATTCTTATCCATCCCTGAAGCCCCTCGGCGGCTATGTCAACGACCTCGTGGAGCGACTAAAATTCTTCCAGAAGTGGGTCGACAACGGAGCCCCTGTCATGTTCTGGTTCAGTGGCATCTACTTTACCCAGGCCTTCACGACAGGAGCCTCGCAAAACTTTGCCCGAAAGTACCAGATCCCTATAGACACTCTGACTTTCGACTTCTTCTATCCCAAGGAGCAGGAATTTTCTGTGAAGCCTGATGATGGAGTTTACACCTACGGGCTTTTCTTTGAAGCTTGCCGTTGGGATTGGAGTGGGTGGAAGCTGGCCGAGTCCGAGCCGAAAGTGCTGTATGCCAGTGTTCCACTGATCCACCTCATGCCATGCGACCCTTGGCGACAACAGCAGGGTCCGCTTTCTACTCTAGCTTTCGAGCTAAGGTCCTCTCCAGTTGCAGGGTGAAGCATTCGGGGCGACAAGGTAGGTTTGGGGTTGGATGGAAGCTTTGATCTAGCGCAAGGGTGTGCCATTCAGGGCACGGCTGCCGCTTCTCCAACTGTTGCTGAATTCAGGAGAAGACGAAGGTCCGTGACTTCCCTCACTACGAGTGCCCGTGCTACAAAGTCTCCACGAGGAAGGGAGTGTTGTCTACAACCGGACATTCGACAAACTTTGTTATGCCCATCAAGATCCTCAGCGACATTGACCAATCTCATTGGATCAAGCGCGGGGTTGCCATGCTAACATCGTTGGACACGTGAAGCTCTTCAGGAGGTGCTGCAGACTTCAAAAAAGCGATCAGCAGTGATGGACTTCAAAGCGGTTGAGTCCTGAATCTGATGTTTCTAGTTGATTTAGGGTAGAGGCACGTGGACCGTATCGCACATTCCCGAGACTTCGCACAAAACAGGCAATGCCGCCTTGCACCGTAGATTTCGGTGTGGTCCACGATGCCAGTAGGCAAGGATAAAGAAAAGTGTCACGACGTTTCACGAAAGTACTAGGTCTTTCACAATTTCAGAGCGGAGCTTTCAAGCTCAGCTTGTAGTTCGTAAATGTTCGATCCTCCAAGCGGCGCAATGATGCGCATGATTGGTGATTCGGTTTCAAACCGTGCATGTACATAGTCCGAATTCAGCAGATACCTGGAGTGCTCAGGTGAGGTGGGGGAGTGTGGCGTGGTGCAAGGGAGAACGGATCCCTGCGACGGAGATGCTCTATGAAGTGACAGAATTTGACGGGCCAAAGGTGTTGACAGTCTGCCTCACCTGCGGTGCTTCAGCCATATTCTGCGGAGGAAGTTATCGTACAAGTGCAAAGCACATTGGACATCAACCGTTTCATTAGGTCAGGTGGTTCTCCCCGCAACTTGGGCTGGCCATCTGGTGTCGTGCCGTGTATTCTTCATAAGGTGGAAAGACGGTGTATAGTACAGTGAGAAAAAACGTCGGGTTGAAGGTGCGCAAAGCTGCAGACCAGAATTGCCGAAGAAGCGTTGAGCAAATACCCATTTGCCCGCAAGTGCTCAGCGCCCATTTCGCGACGCTCCACAGGTGTGCGTTCCATTTGAAGAGTCTGTCTCTGGACTTGCTGGCTTTCTTTGGTTGGGTGGCAGAGATTCTTGGCGGCAGCGAGGGCTGTAGGATGTGGAAGGGAGCTTTGAGGTTAGAACAACAAAAAAAGTACAGTAAGTAAGAAGAGACGAGACGAGGCAGCGTAACATGCATGAACCACAGGATGGTGCATCTCGGCCAGTCAAGTTCAGCGGCCGAAGCCTTAGCCATGGCCGTGCTTTCAACTAGCAGTCGCGGCACTTGCTGATATCCCTGAGGTACCGAGCATAGTGCTATGGCTGATGCTGCTGCAGCTTATTAAGCTCTGGCGCTTCGTTGTGCCGACGACGTTTGTGTTGCACAGGGCTTGGCTTCTTTCTCCGTCTGACGTGGCCATGCTCTGTGACCTCACGTCCTACTGAGGGACAGCCGGGCGGACTCTTTCGCCCGTGGGCTTGCAAGCTCATTCTTTCTGCTGGTCTTAATGTCGCATTTAGCTGGGTGCGTGTGCCTCGGCTTCATAATGAGCTCGAAGTCATTTCGCTTTGAGTTGTCAGATCCGAGGGACGCCCAGAGAGCGGCCCAATACTTTGTCGATTGAAACTCGCTATTGCCGTCTCTGAGGCTCCTGACTCTTGCCGCGCAAGAGCGGGCTGCAAACACCCAGAGTTGCACGTCTGCACCAGTATCTAGGTCCCGGGTTCTTTCATCGAACCTTTCGTGTCCAACAGCCCTGTTTGCCTAGCAGCCTAGCCTGTCCAGGAAGCATGTGCTCAGGCTGGATCGACAACATGGTCGCTGCGGGCGAAAGCTGTATAGAACTGTACGAGGAGGCATTTTACTTCAGTTCACTGAGCTACTCGGTCTGAGGTTGCAGAGAACATCAAGAAGTGGTGACTGTAAAACCACTTTGATTAGAATCCTGTTCTCCAGTTGCTTTTCGTGCCAGTAGCCGCCGAGGTGTTACTTCAGTGGGGTATGGCGGCCGTGCTGCAATATTCCACCCTCATGACGATGCATTCTGAAAATGTAGGGCGAGGCGTTTGAGTCGATCACCGCAGGTGATGTTCTGGTGACTCCAGCAGAGAGAGGTCTCAACTCCTTTCTGCTGATCCTCGGCCAGCTATTCGTGGCGAAGGCAAGGCTGATATAGGCTGATGTGCTAGCAAACGAGAGGTAGGTCAAGCTAAGCTATGGTGCCAGGTATGTGCGGACGTCACTTGGCTGACGTCCCTGCACAACATAGAGGAGACAAAGCACCCGGGAAGCACCCAGCCAGACGATGTGCCGAAGTATCATCGCGTCGACTTGTCGCAGCCCGCTGAAGCAGTTGCCTGGCATCCGACCGAGGAATCAGTCGCAAAAAGCGCAAACATCGGTGGCACTTCGCCATCTCCAGGCACGCGGGAACGGAAATTGGGGATTTGAGGCAGAAAGGGCGCATTGGAAATCAGTGCAGGTGGGCTGTGTTATGTCCTGAGGTGCCCGGCTCGTTGGAGGAACGCGCAGCTTGTCTTAATTGAAGAACTTCCTGGATCCAAAACACTCTCTGTCTGCACGGCTGAACAGGGTGGCATGGCAGGCACCTCACCACCCCCGTATCACGCGATTACAGTAGCCGAGGTGCTGGCGTATCAAGACTTTGTGCAGCATGTTCACCGAGAAGAAGATCTCGACCAGCCTGCATTTCACGGATTGTCCACACCACTGATTCAGGATGACAGCTTCGCAATGATAGTGAGTGCCCTTATCTTGTTGGCTGCTTGGGCCGATCATGCGTCAGTTTTGAATCGAGGAGCTGCGGCTAGCCGCGTACAGGAAGCTGATCTTGAAGGCTCCCTTTCTCAGGGAGCAGAAAAAGCATGTTTCTTGGACTAGCAAGAGATGCCAAAACAGATTGCAGTGTTCCATCAGATAAGACACAATGAGTCAAAGCCTCTGGGCCGTCCTGTATAAACCGAGATTGAGGCTCTATCATCTTCGATATTTCCGAGAGACAGAGAGGGTGCAATCTTCCCCTTCCGTAGTCTTATGGAAACATATAGAATTTCCTGCTTGCAATGTCGTTCCCTGCGGCACTTTGCAGCCATGCATACTCGGCTTAGGTTATTTCTTTGATGGTTAATTCCTTGTCTGACCTGGTCTACTTGCCTGCGGATTTCATCGTGTGCAGCGGCACCCCAGCAGCACAAGCGGATACGAGCCTGTCTTTCCGATACGATGGTCTCTCAAAGAACCTAGCGGCGATGCCTAGCGGTGACGCTGAGGTGATACCGGCCGCGAGCTCTTTTTTATGCGGCGCGGAATGGCAGGCCTCGAAGAGTACGGAAACAGGGCTTGGGGCAGGGGCACGAATCGACGAATCCGAGTCCCCATCAGCGTTTTGGCAGGCGTCTATCCCAGTGGTCCGGAGTGCCCACCAGTATGGGGAGAGTCCTCAGAAGTGGCGGCCGCTCGCCTCGTATCTCGTAGATGGAGGCCGCCATAGGCCGCCAGAGACGTGAGAGACGTCCTTGTGGGCCCCTGTATTTTAAGGAGTACACGGCTGGCAAGTACTTCGGTGAGCTCGGGATGCTCACAGCACGCCCGAGAGCAGCATGGATTATGGCCAAGACATATTGCGTCCTTTCAGCGTCTTGGGTGCAGGAACGATAGAGGGAAGCTGAGAGACTCTGGTCCGAGAGGGGCCTTTGAATGTGGCCGGGCACAAGGTGCTCCCTTACCACACCGTGGAGATCATGCGGGACGAGTATCCCGAGGCTGGAGAAGTTCGTGGGAGTTTCCAACGGAAAAACCAGAGCAGCATGCGGCACATGGCCGCTTGGATGGGGTAGCACACGCGCGCTGCAAAGTGTGCGAGCCTGGCAGCAAGTCCTTGCAATCGTGTGGGGCCCCTTGCAGGCCTTCACAACCTTGGTTCAATCAATGGTGCGAGTCTTCAAACTGGAGCCCAAGCCCTGGAAAGCTCACGTGCTTTCAGAGATTGCAGATGGCATATATTATATATGGCATTTGTCAATCCATTATTGATAGCTGCTGCTTCACTACACTTGCCAACTTCAACATGCACAGTTGTGTTGAACGCCTTAAGGCCGTCAACATCATGGCAACACGTTGCGGAACGACTGCTCAAGTCTTTTGGCTGCTTTTGTTGGGACTCCTTTTTGCCGTGACTCGACGGACGAAGCCTGGACATGCCGAGGAAAGTGAAAGTCTGCAGCACAGAGGAAGCCTTCGAGTGGTTCTGTGAGCAGGGCAACGGCCCTGATGTGTGACTGGGCTCGATCATTGAGTTTCACGTTCCACGTCGAAAGAAAAGCGATGGTCTGAGGATGCCTGGAGAGGAGCCAATCTTAAAGGCCAAGTCCTTCGAATGGGTGTTAAAGTATCTTGGTGCCGGGATCTCGGTCCTGGCCTAAATTGAAGCAGTGCAAAGCCGAATGAAGTTTAAGGTCAACGAGGCCGACAGGATGATCCTGTGGGCAGAAATGGACGCTGACAACACCGGGCAGGTCTCCCGCCAAGAATTCGAGGAGCCGTCGTAGCTGTGCATGTTGATCCGACTTCGGCCTGTAGGGGTCTCAAACAGGGTGTGCACGGGCTGAAAGCATGGCAACTGTTTGGTTTTGGTTTTCCTGCATTTTTTGGACTCCGCAGGCCTTCCAGCGTCTTTCGTCATCATGTCGTAACCTTTGACAGGAGAAGCTGGACATTGACTGGGCTTTGGAAAGGCAAAGCAAGGCAGGTCAGCAGCGACTGCCATCGTCCACGTCACTCTGCACGGCCTGCACAATATGACCCGCATGCTACACCCGCAACGCTGCATGCAGACACTTCGTTACTTGTAGCAGCTTTAAGCAGCCCCCGCGAGATGCAGGTGCACACCGAGCAAAACTCGATGCTTCGGAAGCCCGGTCCCAAGCACCCGCCAGATCGGCACAATCACACGAGTCTCTCTTGGCACGGTGCTTTTGGACACCCAAATTTTATTGGCCAGCGCCCTTGCGTGGACAGGTCCAACAGCATGGCTGCCTCCAGTGGTGCGGTTTCCAGCACTCAGCAATGCTCTCAGACATGTCGTCTTCAAGTTGGAGCGATGTTTGCAGTGGCAGTGAAGAGCACCAGGTACGTTCTAGAAGCGGGTGAATTCAAACCAATGTGCCTCCGAGTCAACACTCCTTGCAGGCGATACCGGGGTTCAAAGGCACCTGTGCTGCAGAGAAGTCTTGCTATTGGAACTCGAGCTTTCCCAGCACTATTGATCAGGATCGTATGGCGCTTGGCGACGCGAGCAACAAAGAGGAGCTCCATGACTTGCTGCGGGACACAGTCCGTCAGATTGCAGCAACTCGGCTGGCAAAGGATTGGCCTTCCACTCGGGAGTTCGTTTTTTTTGTTGCCTGGGAGTCAAGGTTGCGCCTTCAGTCAATTCAGCCCTTATTGATTGGTGTTGGAATTCCTCAGCAGTGGGCAAATATCTAGTAATCAGTACGTTGACGGCCATTGGAAGCATGTCAGGATGAGTACTTCTCCTCGATGCCATCGGTGCGCAGAGGCTCATCCCATCATGGAGGCGGTGTTGTTGCTGTGTCAGTGCTTGGATGTAGATGGAACGCTGCACTGCTTAGAAAGAGCAGCTGATGCGACCATTGCTCAGATCCTCGCATGCGGCCGCCAAGCACCGGTGCAGCTTGCTTGCTGTTCGACAGTGCTCGAGGGTTGGGCCTGCGGCATGTTGAATATGCACGCAGCTCTGCCCGAGGCCCACCATACGCACTCGCAGTAGTCGCACCTTGGCATTCAAGCAGAGCCAGTCCGGCTGCAATCGCATGGCGCTGGCATGGATTGTTGACCAAATTGTGGCATCGCAAGAGTGCTCTTCTTTTCAACCCCACTTCTGAGGCGAGCGGGACTTGCGACAGCTTTGCTGTTGTTGAGCGGAGAAGCGGAAAACATCAAAGGAAGGGCTAATGGCTTGCCGCCCCTCGAATCGGAACCCCAGGCCATTGATCCAATTAACGCACGTTGTGGTCGTTTCCACAGTTCTACGTGCTCCTTGCAGGCATCTTAAGTCTAAAATGACTTGTGGTATGAGTCGAGGGGCCGCAAGAGTTTGTGACAGTTTGTGACCTGTCTCACCATCTCACTTACTCAGCAAGTGTGCGGAACATCCGTGTGCAGCCCTGCGGGTGAGAACCAGTTCATTCCGAAATTGCCCGGGCCTAGGTGAGACAAAGCATCGTGTCAGGTTAACCACTAACTGGCGAGGTTCTCCAGCTGCAGTGACAGCTAAGTCGCTGAGTGTCAGTCATGGCCAAGCTGTTTCACAAATTTTATGTGGAAGCGACTGATGCCCGATGGAAGCCATCATTGTCCGCTAGGTGAGGCCATTTCAAAGAGAGGCAAGCACGGGCCCAAAGGTCCCCATGTCTACAAACGATGGCTCCCTATTCAGGCATCTGCACTGGACGAGTGATGTGGTGGAAACCAGTCAGCCAGACCCAGAACATGGGAAGTTGTTCTCCTAAGGGAGGAGTGTCGTCGGCCTTTTCGGATTGCTTGGCACGCGGTGCAGTCACAGATTTAGCCGAGCCGAGCGAGACAACTGCCGCGAGCCATGCAGATCTGCAACGGTGCCATGCCAGTAGCTTGCATCTCTCGTATACGGCTGTACGCCCATGACATTAAGGACCAACAAACAGTTTTTGGTCATATCTCAGAGTTGCAGAGGCCAACAGTGCCTGCTGGCAATCATGTAGTGTTAAACAATAGCTCTTGTCCTCTGAATCTGCCAATGTCGATCTGGGCTTGATCGAGTGTCAGATTCAGGGGGCACATGTTCAGCATTTATTCCTTGCCATCAAGTGGAAAGGATCGTGAGCGACCGGCAGCAAGCCAAAAGACTCCAGCCCAAGAATCATCAGGATCCCTGGCGCAGTCCGATTGTTTCATATTTCGGTCCGCATGCCTCAGACTTTCCGGCGCAGGCAGCCCCATCACGCCGCGATGGATGCGGATGGATGCGGCTGCCCTGTGTGCACACGACCTATGTCGAGAAAAAGTGGCTGGAATTGTCTGGGTAGCTTCGCGGGGCTTGGATTCTTGTCGCGCAGGCCCAGCAAGCGCAGGCCGGCCGAGGAACCATGCGGCGCATGTCTTCATGTGTGCCAGTCTGCAAGGCTGCGCTTGCAGAGAGAACTGAAGCGAAGGCGGGGGTGTCGACATCATGGGCCCTGGAAGGCCCTGGGCTACACTGACACAATAGGGCCTCCAAGCTCCAAGGTAAGTCCATCCGAGGAAAGCCGGCGACACAGGGACTTGGTCCACCGCTGGCATCTTTGGAAAGGCTGTGTTTGATTCTGAGGCCCGGAAGTGCGGACAGTTACACGAGTCGTCACGGTCGAGAAAGACAAAGAAAAAGTCGTCGCTCCTGCTGCGCGTGACGGTGGGTGGAAGGACAAGTGCACCGCACTGGAAGACGCTTCTCAGCTGCATGATACGGTCCGATTCCTCATCGCTGCGCATGGCCTGCTGGGAAACGGTATATACGGGGAGCTTGTTTCACTGGACATGCAATCTTGAAACTTTCTGAGGAGAAGATCGATCTAGAGAACAAGATCGCAGAGTTGAACCAGCAGGTGCAATCGCCTGCCACAGCAGCCGTTGCAAGGCTGAGACTCCCCGCCGTTTGCACGGAGGTCCAGGTCCTTACAGAAAAGCTCCAGGAAGTTGGAGGAGTGATCGACACAACATGGAGCCGGTTCTGACGACAGCTGGGCGCTTTCAACAGGAGAGCAGGCGATACGCGAAGTCCAGGAAAAAATCAAGCTGCCACATGCTTGTTTTCTGTTGGGACTGTGTTTGGACAAGGGAGTGCTCAGAGCCTTTGGTCGTGCCACCAAGGACTCCGGTGAAAAAGAAGAAGAAGAAGCGGTCGGTCAGTGGGTCAGTCGTTTTCTGAGCGTTTGACCCGTGGAGACGGGTGCCGGCTCAAGGCTTACCAGCGCCTTTGGGAGGATGCCCAGCGGGGGCCCCACAAGAAAAAAAACGAGGGCCTTGCCTTGGCGGCCTTGGCAGCCTGGGCCTTTTTGGGATCCGCAGGCGGCGGATTATCTCCATGCGGGTTCAAGCAAAAAGTGCAGGACCCTGAGCAGGAAAGTCTCCGTGGAAAGTGCAGGCAGTGCTTGCCTTTGCGTCGCCCAGTTGGCAGAAGAACAGGGGAAAGAAATTGGCCAGTGGCGAAAGACGGCGCGACAGTCCCGATTCCACTCCAGTTGGATGGCCCGCAGTAGCTGCCGGCAAGCTGGCAGGTGGTCAGCGAAAAATCAATCAAAATCGCAGCAGGCTCAGGTCTTGTCGTGCCTTTCTCGAGACTCTAGGGTTCTCCTCGTCCTTAGATCGAAAACATCAGCAAGATGCACAAAGCAGTCAGCACGGCCCAGCGCCGCTTGACACATGCGATGTCCATGCCTCGGTTGTGCCTCCTGAGCCTCCTGCGTCAATTCATGTGACACATCTGTGTGTTGAGCAAATTTCTTCGGCCAAGGCTGCAGTTCCAAGCTGAGAGCTTCCCCCCGGAGGGAGAGGACAGCCAGGAACTTCCGCAGGAGAACAGCCAGGACACCCTGGACACACAGGGGACACAAGACAGCAACGAGGGAGCCAGTGAAGACATGCAGCTGCACTCCGTCTGGTCGGCGCCTTGCCTTTCCTCTGCAGTGCCCTGTCTATGTGCGGCAATCCCAAGGGGCGACGATGACGATGATGAAGAGGAGGATGGCGAACTCAGCCCGCTTCCTTTTCAGATACCGAAGAGCGCCGGGACCACACGAGGAGGAGTCACTGTCAGATGCGGAGAGTTGTCTGCGCATTCAACCAGTTCGAAAGCTTTGCAGGAGGAGGCTCGTCCTCCAGCTTCATGAAACGACTTGGCTTCGGAGTCACAGTGCCACGTTTGAAAGCCTGCATCCCTGCACGGTGCAGCTGCATTCGCAGCCTTGGGCCACCTTCCGTACTTCCGCCACGTAGCTTGCCCAAGTCGCAGTGATCAGTTATGTGCATGTCCTGCACTGTAAAGCGACGGCATGCTAACGTTTAGCCTTTGTGAGACACTATTACTATCACTATCACTAGGTCACTAGGGGCGCAAACCACCGCTGTACGATGGACTGACAAGAGTTCCGCAGCCCGTCATGAGCAGGCAGAGGAGTGTTTTGTTACCTTTTCCGCTGACTTCTGGCACTCCGGGTACCGAAAGGTGGTGCTGCTGCTTCCAGCGCTGGCAAGATTCTGATTCCAGCTCGTCTGAGGAGCGGAGCGCGAGCGCATGCTACGGAAGCATGACTCTAGATGCGTGCACACGTGGCAGTCACAGCCTCCAGCATGGCTTTCAGAAGGCAAGCCGAACTTCAAAGACCAAGCATCCACAGGGACATCTGCAGCCGACATCCGGGCGACGGAGGCTAAAGAACAACTGCCCCACAACACGTCGATGAATGTGCGAGGCTGTTTCATCGAAGAAGCATGTCAACTTCAATGTGAGGTGCACGTATGACAAAGGCTACTCTTGCCAGGGCAATTTCAATGCCACGACACATAAACGATTACCCGCGGGGTGAGGTTCGCAGTCATTTTGTGGTTGTTGCCTCGGGCAGCCTCATGAAATGCCACTGCCAGATTGAGCAAGCAATAGCACAAATCATGTCAGGGAGGGTTCCACAGATGCAGATTCAAGCTTGACCCGGCTGGCAAGGTTTTATAGACTATAGAAGGTTTATGAAGACTCAGCTGCGAGGAGATTCTCAGCGATGACGAAGCTGACTACTTGTATTTTCCGCCCAAGACCTACGACACCGCAGCGCACCGTGCCGATGCAGGAGCACTTCAGGTTGTCGCTTTCTAGTGGCCGCTGAGTGATGGCAAGATTCGCTTGGAAAGTGATAGGAAACCAGCCGGCTGCCGGCAGGGGGGTTGTCAACCTGCCTCCACCAGTCGTCAACGCAGCTAAATCGCTTCTCTTCCACAAGAAGAAGGGTTGGAACAGGTTGTGGCGGAGCTTGGTGTATTTTCCTTGGTTAGTTTTTCCGTCTGACCTCGAGTATCCGAGGTGGAGCTGTGTTAAGCAAGGCAGGAAATCGTGCAGTGGACTTTTTACTTGCCCTGCTGACTGATTCCTGAGCTCTGTGCATTGTAGTTGTTGAGACTCGGGACGCGATTTCTTTCCTGGCTGTGCCGAGTGTGAGAGCCTAATAACCAAACATCGGTTGTTCAGTTTTGCCGAGGCCTTCTTACTGACCATGAAGAGCAATGAAGATGTGTCAGAAGAGTAGCCTTGTAGAGGATCAGAGTCAACATGTCGCAAGCTTTTGAAACGTGAGTATGTCCGAGACTCTTTTTTTGCATGGCTTGGGCTCAGCCGTTTCAGATGAGCTGCACTGTCTTGGAAGTTGTTAGGTTAAGATCGCTGGATGCCAGTCCGTCGACCACTCCGCAGCACGGAGCCTAACAAAGCTTCCCTCAGCCACATTGAAGCTCGCAGCCAAGTGCCGACTGCTCAGGCAGAAGCCTGGTGCCTTGTTTGATCTTCGATCTTCGTTGGCTCGCCCTTGGGGGCACCTCTTGCGGTCTAAGGAGCTCGCTGACGAGCCTGAGCCATTCGGAAGCTTGCCGAAGCGCCAGCAAGAGCTAGTAGGCCAGGAACTCGCACGCGACTGTCAGACCAAAAGATGGTGAGCTCTCCGGTTTTCTGGCATCCCCCCGCCCTACTTTGCAACCGGTTTCGAACGC